AGGGGGGCGGGTATATACATACATAATGAGTGAGATGTGCACCATCTGGGGGATGGTCATGATGGAGACTCAGACTTTTGGGGGGAGGGGGGGAAATGGGCATTTATTGAAACCTTAAAATCTGTACCCCCATAATATGCCAAAATAAAAAATAAATAAATAATAAATAAAAATAAAAAAATAGCAAAATATTGAATCATTGTAGAAATGGCCTTGGAGCGTTTTAATATTTTCCCAGACCCACCTATTCATAACCTCTACTCTACCTCCCTCACCACCTACACAGTAGGAGGGTCACCACAATGATTCTCAACAGTCTGAGCACTGAACTTGTTAGAGTCTGTGACTTTTATTACAGACATACATCAGTTTCCAAATTGATGAGCATAAAGTCAAAGCCCTGCCTTTCGATCCAAGGTACAGAAAGCAAAAAGCCAAAAGACAGTTGCCTAACCCTCCTCCCACTGAGTCACCTCCTCTGACATTTAAAAATACCTACACTTGAACTTTTGGAGGAGATGGAATTGTTGAGATAGCAATAATTATTGTGGTGGATATGAAATATGCTTGTTTATCTGTATCTATTCCTTGATTGTATGCCAGTTTTATAACTACATATATTTGTCAACATTGTCCAACATTGGCTTATCAATATCTTTGATGTACTTTTTGGCCAGAAATGAATTCTGTATAGTACTCAAGATAAGGTCAGACCAGCACAGCCTAGAGTTGGATCTTTTCTTTCCTAGTTTGGACACCAGGCTCTTGTTACAACAGCTTAAACATTAGCTTTTTAAACACCAAGTGACATTGTTGATTCATATAGTATTTATAGATAACTAAGACCTATAGGTTTTCAACCTAAGTTCAGAACTTCAAATGTATCCCTATTAAATTTAATCTTGTTAATTTGGCCCCAAGAACTTTCTAGATTGTGCTGGATCCTGATTCTCTCATTTGATACACTGGCACTCTCTCAATTTGTGATATCTGCAATTTGGAAAGCATATTTTTATTTTGCTCATAATACATTGTGGATATAAAGAATAAGTTACAGGGCCGGGCGTGGTGGCTCACGCCTGTAATCCTAGTACTCTGGGAAGCCAAGGTGGGCAGATTGCTCGAGGTCAGGAGTTCAAAACCAACCTGAGTGAGACCCCGTCTCTACTAAAAATAGAAAGAAATTCATTGACCAACTAAAACTATACATACAAAAATTAGCCGGGCATGGTGGCACATGTCTGTAGTCCCAGCTACTCAGGAGGCTGAAGCAGTAGGATCGTTTGAGCCCAGGAGATTGAGGTTGCTGTGAGCTAGGCTGATGCCACGGCACTCACTCTAGCCTGGGCAACAAAGTGAGACTCTGTGCCACGATGCTCTGAGTGGCAAAGACGCCTCCGGTTGCACACGAATGTCCTATAATTTGTGAAGAGTAATTTATTGTTTCCAATTAACGTTCTGAAAGCAAGATGCTTAATTCAAACAAACGTGCTGTTTTCCTTAGCTGCTTATTTGGCGACGACTAGTCTGTCCAGGGGTCTGGGACGCTCTTACGCCCACCTCTGGGCACAAAAGGCCAATCGTTCCTTCCGAGGTGTTTGTACTTGGCATATTACCAACCGGAAGCCATGTTAAGGGCTTGGTCAATACGTATTCCAAATAGCTTTACGCTCCATATACAAGAACAACAGCAGATCACGAATGGAAGAGAACATAAGACCAGGCCGGTACAGTGGCTCACCCCTATAATCCTAGCACTTTGGGATGCCAAGGCAGGAGCATCACTTGAGGTCAGGAGTTCAAGAACAGCCTGGGCAACATAGCAAGATCCTGTCTCTACAAAAAAAAAAATTAGCTGAGTGTGGTGATGAGTTCTTGTAGTCCTAGCTACTGGGGAGGCTGAGGTGGGAGGATAGCTTGAGCCCAGGAGTTCAAGGCTGCAGTGAACTATGACTATACCACTGCACTCTAGCCTGGGCAACAGAAGTAGACCCTGTCTCTGAAAAAAAAAAAAAAACAAGACTAGGCCTGGCCCACCAACTCAGGTGGACCAATAACAGAATTTCTTCATGCAAAGCATAGAATGTTGTAGCTGAATAGTAGCTATGAGCAAGTGCTCTGGGGTTAGGTATCTCTGTTTTCAAGTCCTGGCTTTGTCATGTATTAGCTGGGTAACTTTGGACATATTATTTACCTTCTCTAAATTTCAGACTGCAAATTTCAGACACTCCCCATTGGATTATTGTATGGATTAAAAGAAGTACCATAAAAAGCTTAGTATAGGGCCTTGCATGTAACTGATATTGTTGATGTGATATTAACTTGAATGCAAACTTACAGGACTAGGGACTTTTTAACTTTATGGTGCAAAGCCAAAATCATTACCAAAAAGTGTCACCTTTTAGAATATTAATGAACTGGTTACAATCTCAAGCTAAAATTCTGTTTGCTTGCCTATTTTTGCAGAAGAGCGGCAGAGAAAGCTTCAGGAATACCTAGCAGCCAAGGGAAAACTGAAAAGCCAAAATACCAAGTGAGTTTGTCTACCCACAGTTATGCAAGTTTTGTTGCCCTCTTTGTAATAGCAACTTAAAACCTTTTTGAAACATAGCCATTTTGCTTACAGTCTACTCAGATTCCATTAGGATCCTGTGACTCAAAAGAGGATTTCAGTCCAGCTGTGACAAAAACCCCTGGGCAGTGCCTAGTCCACTGGCAACGATTTAAGCATTATTGTTATGACAGTCTCCAAAGGAAGAAGGGAAGGTTCTACCCAGAATTACCCACCATGCTGGAAACTTTTCTTGTCCCTATTTTTGTTCCTGGGAAAATTGATTGTTGTGAAGGCAATTTTGGTCAAGAAATTGAATGACCTGGGTTCTGATGTTTCTTACTAAAGCAGGAGAGTCAGTTACAATCAGTCCTCCATAGCTCCAGCTTGACAGCACTCTTTGGTCATTCTCTTAAAATTTACTATGGGGGTGGACAGAACATGACCACTACACTTTTATCTTTCATCAACATCATTTGTGATGTTATATATCCCTCTTGCTTAGCATTGATGTATTTTCTCCTCGGTTGATTGCTAAATTTTTATTTGAAAATTAATTTTTACAAAGTTAGCTTTCACTTTTATTTTACTCACCTCTATTTCTTAGATTAAATGAACCTAACTCATTTATTCAATAATTATTTGTTTGATAATATATCCATCATTCTTGATGCTGGAAATATGATGCTTAATAAGTGAAGTCCCTGTTCGAAACCAGCCTGAGCAAGAGTGAGACCCCATCTCTACTATAAATAGAAAGAAATTAATTGGCCAACTAATATATATAGAAAAAAAAAATTTGCCGGGCATGGTGGGTGCATGCCTGTAGCCCCAGCTACTCGGGAGGCTGAGGCAGGAGGATCACTTGAGCTCAGGAGTTTGAGATTGCTGTGAGCCAGGCTGACGCCACGGCACTCACTCTAGCCTGGGCAACAAAGCGAGACTCTGTCTCCAAAAAAAAAAAAAAAAAAAAAACAAAACAAACAAATAAGTGAAGTCCCTGCCCTCCCAAGGCTTATGTTCTAGATGAGAGAGACAAACATCAAACAAGTCATGATCAAAGTCCCTGTTAGTCTAGCAATTGGTTTTGGGTCATGGAGATTGATTTCTTCTAAATTCTGTGTTCTCTTATCCTTTTTTTTTTTTTTGCATTTCCTGTTTCCCTAGCTAGATTTCATGTATGTTCATGTTTTTTTTTTAATTATATCACTTCCCCCACCCCCCGAAAACTGACAAAGATAGTATTTGAAGATACTTAAAACAAGGAAGTTTTTTAAAGGAGCTGGTAATGGTTTTATTTGGCATTGTATAGTGTCTGGCACATTGCAGTATTCTAGAAATGATGTTTGAGGGAATAAAACTATGCAAATATGAAAGAAATACATATATTTCATTAATATTCTTAGAATGCTATGTTTATGCATAGAATGTCTCTGAAATGATCATAGAAAAAAATGTATAGGAGCAGTTGTGGTCTCTGAGAAGGAGAATACAGGCCTAAGGAAGGGATGAGAAGACTTTTTATTGAATTAATTTTGAATTATTTTGCAATTACAGAAATTCTAATCATAATTTTTAATCACTGTACTTTCCAAGCCTTGCTTGGGATCCTTCTGTACTGATGATTAATTTTATTTTGTCTTTTATAGGCCTTATCTAAAAGCCAAGAATAATTGCCCAAATCTACCGCCTTCTAAATCTGTAAGTAGACGCCTTCTAAATCTATAAGTAGAAATTAGTCTTTTTAGAAATAGCCATTTTGAAAGCATAATTAGTAATAAAAATTATAAAGATGTTAGTGACCTAAAAACATGCATTTCAGAGATATTTTTAATAAATATAAGAACGTTTGATTTAATAAGATAGACTCATTTTTTGAAAAGAACAATATACTATAGTTTAGTTTTGTAAACCAAAAAACCCTTAAGTGGACTAGGTTTTCTTAATAGCTAACATTTATTGAATACTTAATGTGTGCCTGTGCCTGGCACTTTTCTGACTTACATTTACCTCAGTGAGTCTTCCCTTATGAGATAGGTATTATTAGTAGCCCCACTTTGCAGGTAAGCAAACTAAGTCATAGGAAGGTTAAATATTTTCCCCAGGTCACATAGCTATTAAGTGACAAAGCTAAGAGCCTGTAGTCTTAACCACTTTGGTATGCTGCCATGAGGTTAATTAGCTCAGTAGTCAGTAAAAGAACACTTACATTGGATCTTCCAAGCTATTTAACAAGTATATGTTTCCTAATCAATTCAATTCAGCTAAATTGTGTATAAAATGATAAAGTATCTTAATGTACTTAAGGTTTCAGTGGAAGAAATTAGCCTTCTGAAAGGGGCACAAATTCTTCATCTGCAATAAAATAACCCATAAAAACCCCACCTTTAGTTTTTAAACCATAGTTTTATTTAAGTTCTAAAGTGCAACTGAAATAGTGCTGCCCAAAGTGAGACATTCTCACTGGTGGGAATTTTAATAAGTTTTAATGATTCATTCACTGAATCATTTTAACACATTTCAGTCATGTGAATGTATGCATATATAGACATATGTATGTTATGTGTATACTTGACATCATTAGACACTGGAGGATAGAAAAGCGTATATAAGGCAAAATTGATGCACAATGATTCAAACAGTTGGGAAGCACTAGGTTGCGTTTTCTACTTTATACAGATTGAACCAGTTAGCATGCAAGCTTAAGGAAAAATCTGCTGGAAAGGGCCCTCATTCTGAGTTCCCAGTGACTTCTCTGGAAACTGACAATAGTGACTTCAGTAAATCATCTCTTAAAGGAGAGTGATACCTACTTTATCAGCTTTACATAGTTTGTAAAGGTAAAAATGAAATGGGGAAGGGAATTAAAGAATTTAGGAGAAACTAAAAGCATTATGCAAATAATAGTCATCATTGCAATTGTATATGCTTTACAATTTACATAACACTTTTGTTACATAACAGTAACAGCTAACATTTGATTGGTTATTACCTGGGCATGGCACTTTATGTTCATTGCCTCAGTACTCAAAACAACCTTGTAAGGGTTGTTTAAGGGAAGTTAGCCCTATGATTTAATGTCCAAACCAGGATTCCTTTGAGAGCAAAAGGAGGTGTTGTTACTAATTATGTTGGGCCAACAGGCATAAATCAAAACTATTAATATCTTGTGAAAACCAGGATATATGGCACAATAGATAGTATTCCCATGGACATTCTTTTCGGCCTCCACCCATCTGCCCATGTGTACCCAGATGCTCAAATAAACAGCATTTTGCTACCAAAAAAAAAAAGTATTAGTATTCCCATTTTACAAATGAGAGGACTGAGGATCAGAGAGATTAAGTACTTATGCAAAATTACATAGCCAGTAAAGGTCAGACCCAGGATTTAAACAAAGATATTCTAAAGTAACTTTAATGCATGTTATGAAGGAACACAAGTTTTGCATTCTATTTCTATCCAGAAGTTTTAACACATTGAGAGAAAATATTTTTAAGTCATATATCTGATGAGGATCTAGTATCCAGGATATATAAAGAACAGTCACAACTCAACAACTAAAAGACAAATAACTGAACTTAAAAATGAGCAAAGGGTCTGAATAGACATTTCTCCAAAGAAGATATACAAATGGCCAATAAGGACATGAAAACATGTTCAACATCATTAGCTATCAGGGAAATGCATCTATTTCACACCTACTAAGATAGCTATAATCAAAAACTCTTATAATAAGTGTTGGGGAGGATATGGAGACATTATAACACTCATACATTGTTGGTGGTAATGCAAAATAGTGTAGCCACTTTGCAAAACAGTTTGGCAGTTTTTTCAAAAGTTAAGCATAGAGTTACCATATGACCCAGCAATTCTACTCCTACATAGAGACCCAAGAGAATTGAAAACATATAGTCACACAAAAACATGTACATAAATGTTTCTAACAACATTATTTATAATACCCAAAAAGTGGAAACAACTCAAATGTCCATCAATTGATGAATGAATAACTAAAATGTGGTATATCCATACGATGGAATATTATTTAGCCATTAAAATATAATGAAGCATGTGGCTACAGGATACATGGGAACTCTCTGTACTTTCTGCTCAATTTTGCTGTGAATCTAAAAAAATAAAGTTTATTAATTAAAAAAAAGTAAAGTACTGATACGTGCTAAAATATGCCTGCATCTTGAAAACATTATGCCAAGTTAAAGAAGCCAGACACAAAGGCCACATTTTACATGATTCCATTATACGACATGTCCCAAATAGGCAAATTCATGGAGATATAGAGACAGAAAGTAGACGAGTGGTTGCCAAGGGCTGCAGGGAGGGTAAAATGGGGACTGACTGCTAACAAGTACTGGATTTCTTTCTGGAGTGATAAAAATGTTCAGGAATTAGATAGTGGTGATTGGTGTACAATCTTGTGAATACACTAAAATCCACTGAATTATATACTTATTAAGATGATAAATTTTATGATATGTGGATTATATCTTAACTTTTTTTAATGTACAAAAAAAGCAGCTAAAATAAATACATTTGGAAACTTTAATACCAACATCCCCAATTTTCAGTAAGCAATGATGGAGAGATCTGAGGTAGATATAAATGTTGAGGCTTAAGGAGTAACCCAGATATAGCCATTGTGGGTATACTATCCATCTCACGCTCTGTACTCCCAACTCTCCCCCATTTCATCCCTAATAACACCATACACACCAGTACTGTTCCAAAGTAGACACCTCCTTGCCTTTAATGCCAAATGGTCCTGGTTAGATTTTCTTTACACACTCATCAAGTGTACATAGTAATTCTTCACAATGTTGTTCATGCTCTGCAATCCACAGTGACTTGCTCAATTATTTACATATCAATTCTAATCTCCCTTCCCTAGTTTTCAAAGTTCTCTGTAACCTAGCCTTACCTTTCTCATCCAAAAAGAAATCACATGAGTCGACTTTGCTTATTGATAACATAGAATCTAACCTTAAAATCCTGTCCTGACTTCACAAATATGACTAATTTTCTACTGAAATGTTAGGTGTTTATTGAGAGCTGTTCCTATATATCTCAGGACTCTCATCATCTACCACCTATGTATCTCCTTGTCTCCCATCTCTGGTGGCAAGACAGAGTTTCTTGAGTGATGCCGTGATGTTTACAAAGGCAGTGATTTAAAAAAAAAAAAAAATAGTGTAGCTGTACAAAGTACTAGGAGAAACTTATTGAGAAGTGCCCTAACATAAGTTCATATGTATGTATATTTTCCAGGGTCCCTACGAGGACATTTCACTGGGACATAATGGGCACTCAGCAAGTACTGTTCAATTGAGGCAAATTTATTTTTTAAACAGCAATTTTTGTATATTCACTGCATCTCTGCTTGATTCTGTCAAGCTAAAAGATTTTTATATATTAATATTCCTAATAGGAACTCAAGTTATAAAAATCACCTATTAGTGAGCCTTTCTCTACTTTCTCAGGATCCAACTTTCTTAAATGAAATTCTAAAGAAAATGGCTAATTTTTTTTTCTAGCATGTGTTTAAACATAGTTATTTTTATCATTATTTTACAAAGAGTGAACTATTGTTATGAATTTTTTCTATACATTTTTGTTTGTCTTTTCAGACTGTTAGATCCCAAAAGGATATTACCAACCACGTTGTTTTGCCTGTCAAAGATAAAAAGTCAGTTAGCATTAAACTCCAGCCCAGACCAGCCAATATTATAAGGTGCCAGAAGCCAAAGTTGGAGCCACCAAAACTTCTAGGCAAAGGGCTAATTTCAAGATATGTTTCTTCTAACTCAAACTGTAAGCCTTCTAGCAAGAGTCAGCAGCAGCATAAAGCTAGGTCATCCACTGTGAGCAAACTGTCAAGAAAACCCGTGGGGTCACTTAATATACAGGAAGTGAAAACTACAAAACAACAGGTAATAGATCAAGGAACTGCTAAATGTACAGACTCTGTGGACAACACTCATGTTGAAAACCAATCTTTGGATAAGTTTCTAAAAGAGATAAATAAAGAGAACCTACCACAAACCTTATCAAATCCTGAGAGGAAGCCAGATCCTGAATTATGTACCATCAGTAAGCCAAAAACTAACTCTTATAATCTAACCAAGAGCAATTTGGCTCCTAAACAAGTCTTGGGCAAAAGTTCAGTTAATGGTGCTGTTCTGAAAGACAGAATTCATAAACAACTTGTTGGAGAAAAGCAAATCAGGATTCTGTCCATAAAATCACACCAACTCTCAAGAGGAACAGATCTTGCAAGACCAGAAGAAAAACCCCCAAGGACAGTTCCCTCTCACTTTAATCAGACCCTTAGTAAGACTCAATCATCAAAGAAACCAGTGGTCAAGGAGATAAAGGTAATTAGTAATAAATACAAAAGACCAAATGAAATTAAGTTACGGTCACACCCTGTTGCTGAACAGAAAGTAAAATATACCAAACCCAGGACAGACCCCAATTTGCTTCAGGGAGGAAATAAAAACAGACATCCAAACATCAAGCAAGATCAGAAATCCACTCAACCTTGCTTTAGACCTCAAACATGTGTTCTGCAAAAATCAAAAGCCATGAGCCAGAAACATACTGTGACAGCTGGCAGCTGTAATTCAGTCATTCCACGCACCCCTAGCATAAGAGCAAATGGAGCCAATGGTAATAAACGTGGCAACAGCTTTCAACAAAAAGCACACACTTTGGACTGCAAGTTGAAAAAGACTCTTCCCCAGAACCATTTTCTGAACAAGACAGCTCCCAAAACTCAAGCTGGAATCACAAACATAAATGGAAGAAGAGTCCCAAATGAGACCCAAACGAATCCAAATATTGAAAAGAAGGCAACAGTAGAGGATCGAAGGTACTTTGCTTTAATTCCAATATTTTGCACCTTAAGATGGTTAGGAAAATTGACCATCAAGAATACTTGGTCAGGAAGTAAGCTATAAATAATGGCTCCTAAGTAATTTTTAGCTATAGCCTGACAAAAAGATTTGAAGCAAATATAACAAGTATTAAGACTTGCTAAAGCTAGGTGGTGCATACATGCATCATAAATCATTCTCTGTAATTTTTCTGTATGCTGAGATAGTTTATTTCTTAAAAAGAAATTGAAACACAGAATGGATGAGTTGAGTAAGAAATCAGGGTTGCATGCTGGGCATGGTGGTTCATGCCTATAATTGTAGCACTTTGGGAGGCTGAGGCGGGAGGGTCGCTTTGAGGCCAAGAGTTCAAGACCAGCTTGGGCGATATAGTGAGACATTGTCTCTACGAAAAATAGAAAAATTAGGCACAGTAGCATGTACCTGTAATCCCATCTACTCTGGAGGCTAAGGCAAGAGGATTGTTTGAGCACAGGAATTTGAGGTTGCAGTGAGCTATGATGATGCCATTGTACTCTAGCCAGTAAGTACTCTATCTCAAACAAAAAAGAGGTTGCAGACGTAGACTACTCATTCAAGAAAGCCCTGCAGCAATAGTACAGACTATTGAGTTCATATAGCTAAGAAGTAGGAAGATAGTCCCTTGTCAAGCAGACCAGTGATCTAGTTCAAAAACGAAGTTATCAGGAAAAAGGAAATGAAGCTTCCATGAGTCTCACCAGTCCAAGTTTTGAAAAATAAGCTAAAGCAGAGAGGAACAGTCAGTTCAAATACAGAGTTCAGATGATAGAAATCAGGATCTCAGGTTGCTGGGCCATAATATTAACATACAGGATGCTTGAAACTGAGCCCAAGGATTTCGTACACTTTCCACACAGGACCAGACATAGTCCTCATAATGTGAGTGAGTCTCCCAGGAGAAGCATGTATGTATACCTTGTTGGAGTAGAAAATCAGGAAATTCTTGACAAGAGTAAAAGGAGCATGTAAAATTAGATAGTTGGCTAAAAACTGTAGCAGGATGAAATGAGAGCAGGTTTAAGTCTCTGGGTACAGCCCTGAACCCCACCAACAAGCTATATTTGCCCTCCTGAAGAGACAGAAAAACACAACTTAATTCAGGGTGATGTGATCGAGACAGTAGGGCTGGAATGGCTTCTTTAGATAGAAGGGTCAGGGGAAGTACTTTCAACTGTAATAGCTGAGACCTAAGCCTGGGAAAACACTGATAACAAGAAAAAGGACAATCCTGAGCAGAAAGAAAAGGGAGTGCAAAGACCCTGAGCGGCTGAATGAGGAAGTCAGGGTCTCTGCCCTAGAGCTCATGGTCTAGATTAGAGGGTTGGTCTACAACAGAGGATTGGTCATAAAACTGTGTTGCATGTTGAACATGTTTAATTACAAATGGGAATGAGTCTGTAGAGGGATAGATTCACACCTTCTGCAAGTGTTCCTTCAGCACCTGCGGCGTGCCAGGTGCTAGGGAATACAGTGGTGAGCATACAATCATAGTCTTTGCCCCATGGAGCTTATTATTTGGTGTATATATGGAAAGTACTAGGGAAACAAAATTATAGCACTGAGGTCCTAGGACAAAGTTGGCTTTAGAAAAGGAAAGTTCTCTTCATTTATGATTAAAAGGAAGGCTAAGGGGAGAGGAAGAATTCCAGGAACATAGAAGGAGCACATGCTAGATGTGTCAACTTATATCATTAGTAGTTGGTTACAGTGAAGGTAAGGAGGGAGTCGTTGGGGCTGAAATAATCACTGTATGGATTGTGCTCTGGAGTACTGTACTCAAGGAGAAAAACAAGAAAGTTAATAGTTTTCATACATTCAGAAATTAGTTAATGGCATTCTGGAAAAAGCAAAACTATGAGGACAAAAACCAGATCAGTGATTGACAGGAACATGGGGTTGACGACCAAGGAGCGTGATGGAATTTTTGAGGATATTGGAATTGTCATATATTGATAATAGTTATGGTTACATGATTTTATTCATTTGTCAAAACTCACAGAATTGCACACTAAAAGTGAATTTTGCTGTATGTTATTAAATACCTGTGTGTGCTAGGTACTGTGCAAGGTACTGGACCTCCAAGATTTCTGCTTTTGTAGAACTTGTATTCTAGTGGAGGAGACAGAAAACACACCAATTAAATAAACAGGATAATTACAGATAGTAACATCTTCAAGGAGGTGTCATTGGAGTGGAGCACTGAAGATGCAAGACAGGAATGAGCTTGGGTCTAAAAACTGAAAGGATGCCAGAGCTCCTGAAGGAGAGAGAGAGAGTGGCATGAGGTTGGAGAGAGGCAGGCAGTAGCCTTTCAGCCATGGAAAACATTTTGAATTTTATTCCAAGACCCATTGGAAATCCTTGGCAGTAACACAATCTGGTTTACCTTATTTAAACGAGATTGATGTTTACATAAACATCACTTGCTGTGCACAGAATGAATTTCAGTAAGGGTTAGAGTGGAATCAAGGAGATGAGTTAGGCTGTTGCAGCATTTCAGTGACAGTGATGTGGCTTGGGACGGTGGTAGTGTAAATAGAAGCAATACTGACCATATAATGATGTGTCAGATGTCAGGAAAAGGATGGACTACTCACAGACAACTCCTATTGGGGTGCTATTTAACAAAGTAAGGAAAACAAGAAATAGATTTGGAGATTAAAATCAAGAAGTTTGCTTTGGACAATATTAGATTTGAAATACCTATCAGACATCAAATCAAAGTTATCAACTAGGCAGGAGAGTTTTACAAAGTTTGGGCACCAGGGAGAGATCTGGGCTAGAATGTACTTTTGTAAGTCATCAATAATAGTAGCTGTAATTTTAAAAGCTAGAGAGCCTCTATTCAAATGCCTGGATCTACATGTCTTGGTGTCCCCATTCTCCAAAAAGCAGTCTCTTGCCAGCTTAGAAGCAGGATTGGAGAATGTGAACAGTGGGGGAGAGCAAAGATTAGGTGCCATCAGAGAACAGCTATTTAAGAAAAGAGCCCTGAAATTATTGATCTAGCTTATGAAAGAAAGGGAGTCATGTGTGGTCAAGTGAGGACTAAGGAATCAACCAGGCACGGTGGCTCACACCTGTAATCCTAGCACTCTGGCTGGCCAAGTCTTAAGGCCAGGAGTTTGAGGTTGTAGTGAGCTATGATGACGCCACTGCACTCTAGCTGGGACAACAGAGCAAGACTCTGTCTCAAAAAAAAAAAGAGGACTAAGGAACCAAGATCCTATGAAGACAAAATGCAGGCTTGGTGGGTCAGGGTTGAGTGACCCTGGGAGATGGGAGAAATGGAGTGCTGAGTTAGTGATCTCAAAGATAGAGGGATGTCTCAGAAAAGCAAGTGTCAGGTAGAGTACCATGAAATGAAAACTTTCAAAGAAAAATAATGAATAATCACGAAGTCAAAAGTTTAAAGACTGAAGTGCTGGCCACTTATAATCCTAGTACTCCTGGCATCTGCCTTCTAACAGGTGAGAGCAACCTAGTGCTGTCATTACCCATTTGTAAATTGTTTTTTAATTCCATTCTCCTGATTTTGTCTATAGTTTATATGTATAGTTATGGTCAATGTATACGTATCGTATACTTTAGAAGTTTGACTATATTTAAGAAAAAAACTAAAACCACCATCCCTCTTCCTTTAATTGAATAACAGGAAACAACTAGAAGAATGGCAGAAATCTAAGGGGAAAATCTATAAACGGCCTCCTATGGAACTTAAGACAAAAAGGAAGGTAATAGAGGAAATGAATATTTCATTCTGGAAGAGCATGGAACAAGAAGAGGAAGAAAAGAAAGCACAACTGGAACTGTCCAGTAAAATTAACAACACTCTGACAGAATGTCTGAAGCTCATTGAAGGGGTAAGTGAGAAAAGATAAGCTAGAGCTTTGACTCAGAGACTTGGAGATTTTAAACATTTTTCTTAAATATGGTGTAAGGGAGATAGCCTTTGTCTAAGCTAGAAATTTAGCTGCTCTATAAATATGGAATAATAATAGCAATAATAACATACACTTAAACAGTGGCTTTGTATGTACATTTATAAACACTTTGTAAGTGCTTTTATAAGCGCTTAAATGATGTCATCTCACATAATTATAATAATGACTATTACTATGCCCACTTTACAAATGAAACTGAGGTATAGAGAAGTTGGAGAACTAACCCAAATAATTTGGCTCCAGAGGGATCTAAAAGGAACTTTGCCTTCTTCAGGTATCAAGGTCCAAAGAGTAACATTTAGCATTTAGGTATGAAACTGAAGTCAAAAGACAAGTTCTTATATTAAGTTGGAATATCCTAAATATTCTGGGTAGCTATAAATAGTGTCTAAATTATATCTTAGATTCTGCAGATAAGGATAAAATAGGTGGTAAGCAAAGGGTATGATCCTTAGGAGGTTCCATGAAGGAAAAATAATAAAAATGATGAGGTAGACTTTTATACTAAGATCCTTGCCTAAAGCAAAACCCATTCTGTCTTTTGGCTGGTAATGGACATCAGCAGAAGAAAGGAAGCCAGTTTTAGTCTATTCCAGGTAACATTTTCACAGCATTCAGTTAAACATTAATTATTTCTCCTTTGTGGAATTAAACTTCAGTTCTTTTTTTTTTCTTTCTTTCTTTTCTCTTTCATTTTTATCATATTTAAAAAAACATGAATAGAGTTTATTATTTAAATTATTTCAAACAATACAGATAAATGAGAGCTCTTTCCTCCACACATACATAAATACTTAGACATCCTAAGCTTCTCTCTGGAGATGACCCCTATTGCCAGTCATTCTTCCAGACAGTGTTCATGCATGTCCATATAGTATAGGTACCTAAAAAAATGAAGTATGTAGGAGTTTTTCATGAGTTACAATTATTTCACATTTATATATGTGTTCATTGGTTATCTTTTCATGTGTGTTGCTAGTATCAATGTTATGCCGACTTTGTCAAATGAGCTGGGTATTTTCCTTCTTGACCTATACACTGAAAATAGTTTGTGTAACATGAGAATTTTTTTTTTTGAAGGTTTAGTAAAAATTTGCCCATAAAATCATATGCTTCTTTGGAGGATAGTTTTGTGTATATATTTTAAATTTTAATATGGTCTACTACATATCAGTGTAAGGCTAATAAAAAAAAAAAAAAGAAAAGAAAAGAAAGAATATGGTCATTGGTCCACTATTTTTGTACTTGTTTTGTATTTCTTGAGTCAACTAGTAAATTTTTTACCTTTCTTTAAAATTAGACTTGCCAAAGATTTTTCTCTTTATTAATCTTTTTAAAAGCCTTTTTTTGAGTTTTATTGATTTTCTCTTTTATCAATATTTGTACCTATTTATATTTATTATTCTAGCTTTTTAATTGAAAGCTTAGATCATTTAAGTCAGTCTTTCTTATTTTCTTATAAATATGTTTAATGCTATAAATTTGCCTCCAAATTTTGCTTTTGTCAGATCCCTCAGATTTCACTAAGTAATGTTTTTTATCAGTCAGAGTTGGCCAGGCGTGGTGGCTCATGCCTCTAGTCCTAGCACTCTGGGAAGCCGAGGCGATAGGATCGCTTGAGCTCAGCAGTTCCAGACCAACCTGAGCAAGAGCAAAACCCCGTCTCTACTAAAAATAAAAAGAAATTAGCCAGACAACTAAAAATAGAAAAAATTAGCTGGATATGGTGGCACACGCCTGTTGTCCCAGCTACATAGGAGGCTGAGGCAGGAGGTTCACTTGAGCCCAGGAATTGGAGGTTGCTGGGAACTAGGCTGACACCATGGCACTCTAGTCCAACAACAGAGCAAGATTGCCTCAAAAAAAATCAGTCAGGGTCAAGTCAGAAAAACAGAAACCACACCAGGTATCTCAATAGAAAGAATATAATTGGTTACACGATGTCTTATCTGCGTTCTCTAGAAGTAGACCCTAACAGGAGGATCTGTGTGAAAACAGTTTATTAGGAAGAGACTCTCAGAAAAAACTGGAAGAGGAGTGAGGTTGTAGGACCAGGAAGTGCAGGATGCCAAGCAGGATGTGGTATCAAGTAAGTTTATGGAGAGTATCTTTGCATAGTCCCACAGGGGAGCGCTATAGACAGTGTGGGTCATATCTCTGAGTCCTCCTGATCAGGAACAAGGGAACTTCAGTCTTAAAGCTTTTGTGGTCCTTTGTTAATGGCTGCCCCTTGGAGGACAAGAATTCCCAGGTACTTCTGACTCTGGGCATATACAAAGGAGATTGGCTGTGAAAGTACACTGTGAGCCTATGTGCACCAAAATGGTAAAGGGATCAGAGGGCTGAAAGCCAAAAGGAACCTGAGGTAATTACTGCAGGAAGCAGCTAGCACCCACTGGGTCTAGAGTAACAAAGAGAGATTGACGGTATCAGAACCTAGAAGCAGGAAAGACAAACCCTTGTGGAAATGGGACTCCAGCTCTAAGGAAGGGTATACTATACAGTGGATGCTGGACTGTAAGAGTTAGACAAGGGATCATTCAGAGCTAGGACCTAGACTTTGAGGAAAGGATGCTATCCATTTTGTACTCCTGCCTCTGAAGAAGCTCAGTGAGGTGGGAGTGCCAGAAAAAGGTGGAGGCTAGAGCCAACTGTTGCTGCCAAGATGAGGAACCATTGCTAGGATGATGAAAACAAATGGGAAAAACCAAATTTCTTCTTCCTTCTCAATCCCTGCAGTCTAGTCTCTCTATAGTGCCTCATACTGGCAGAGCAGCTGCTGTCAAAGCAGAAAATGGTTTACAGACTTCCAGGCCCATTATCACAAACCAGAGGATAAGAAGAGGTGGATGGAGCTAAGAGACAATAGCTTAATAATTGACATGATGTTTTCATTGTTCGTTTTTAAGTAGTTTGAGATTTCCATTTTGAGTTCTTCAGCCCAAAAGTTATTTTAGAATAGTATCTTTTTAATTTCCAGATCTATAGATTTTTTTTTCTGGCTTTCTGTTAATTTCTAATTATATTGCATTATGGTTGGTGAATGTGGCCTATATGTATTTTGGATAGAATTTGTTGAAATTTTCTTTGTTATCTTAATATCTGATCATTCTTGGTAAATGTTCCAAAAGTACCTGAAAAGAATTTGTGTTATATTTGTTTACATGATCTGTTGCTTTCTGTAAGAAATATGCCAAAGTCTCTCACTGACACTGGGATTAGTCACCAACAATTTCTCTTTATATTTCTGTCAAATTTTACTTTCTGTTTCTCAAAGATGTGTTAATTACATAGAGATTCATGACTTGCTTTGATTTCTCTTTTGTCTGATTAATCTTGCTACACTTGCTTTTTCTTGTTAGTATATGTCTAGCAGATCTTTTTCCCATCCTTTATTTTTAAACCTTAGTGGATTGGCTTATTTTAGGTATGTCTCGTATGAATGCGTACAGTTAAATTTTTTAATCAAATCTGAAACTCTCTACTGTAAAAAGCAAATTTGATTCATACACATTTTGTGATTACTCATATGTTTAAATTTATGCCTTCATTTTATTTTATAATTCTATTTACAGGAATTGTTTTTTATTTTTCTTTATTTCTGTGTTTGATCCAGTTTTCTTTATTTCATAAAAAAAATTGAAATCAAAATGAAATGATAGATGTAAGTTCAAACATAATTGCACATTATATATCATATTTTTCTTGCAGTTACTTTTGTTTGGCTGGGGAAATTTTCTAATTTCAAATTGTTTTCCCTGGAAATTTTTAAGTAACTTCTTCATTTTATTTCTGGCATTTGGACTTGTTAGTTTATTAATAAAGTGTCATGTTAATCCGATTCTCATTCCTCTATAGGTAATCCTTTTTTTCCTCTTTGGAAGCTTTTAAGATTTGTTTTTTTATCCTTGGTTTTCTAAGCATTTTTTTTAAATTCATATTGCTTAACTCTCTCAGATCCTTTTAATCTGAACAATTCTTTCTTCAGTTCTTGACATTTTTTCATCTACAGCTGCTTTGAGTGTGTGTTCATCTTTGTTCTCTTTATTTTTCCTTATAGAAATTCTCATAGGTGAATATTGGAATTACTCAGTAGTAGATATATCCTCCAGAACTCTAAATTTTTCTTTCATACTATTCATTTCTTTGTTCTATCCTACTGGTTTCTGAGAATTTTACAGCTAAATTTGCAACTCACATATTATTCTTCCATGGTGTCCATGCCATTGTTTTGTCTATCTGTTGGTTCTTATTCATAACAGCCCTTTCTAGCCTTAGGATAGCAATATTCTCGTTTATCACTCTGAGATACTGACTGCAGTATTCCTGAAATTTATTCTTTCTCCCTCATCTGTTTTCTCCAGTGTTCATTCTTGTTTGTTGAGTTTTATGCTTCCTTCACATAGTGTTGGTTTTCTCAGGCATTAGTGTTTCTCAGCTGTGAGTTTACCTTCATATCTTTCCTCATTGTGAAAACAGTAGAAAATACTGCTTGGCTGAACATGCCAGCACCTGGATTTCTGGGCATGGCAGTGCTTCCCCTTCCTCCTGCTCTGTGTCACTGCCCTGCTCTGAGCACAAGCCAGAGGGGGCCAAACCTGTGAAGCCACTTCAAAGTTCCTCTTTGTGAGATTTAACCCTCCTCCATATACACCTGCACAAATCCTCAGCACACATATATACCCCTGTGACCCCTGCATATCTGTGTTATTCTTCATACTGCTGTCAATGTAATATAGAAATTCTGGTCACTTTTCCATGTTCAAATTATTATGAATATGGGATGTTATCAATATGTTAGAAATGTTGATTACTCTAGAATTTGTTTTGTTTTTGTTTTTGCACCACATGAAAATGAAGAACAGGCCAGGTATGGTGGCTCCCGCCTGTAATCCCAGCACTCTGGCAGGCCGAGGCAGGAGGATTGCTTAAGGTCAGGAGTTTGACACCAACCTGAGCAAAAGCAAGACCTCTAAAATACTAAAAACAGAAAACTTAGCGGGGCATCATGGTGTACGCCTATAGTCCCAGCTATTCAGGATGCTGAGGCAGGAGGATCGCTTGTGCCTGGGAATATGAGGTTGCAGTGAGCTATGATGACACCACTGCACCTTACCCAGGGCAACAGAGCGAGACTCTATCTCAACAACAACAACAAAAAGAATATATTTCTTACCTTCAGCTGTAATAAATGTTTTTCTATTTGCTCTCACATAACTCTTAAAATTTAATAATCAATGTCAAAACTCATTGAAACATAAAATCAAAATGGATGAATTTTATTATACGTATATTGATTGTACCTTGGTAAAATTGAAATTTTTTAAAAGTTTAAAAAAATCAGTGATCAGACTGATTTCTGCATACCTGATATAATAAATATTAGGAGATGTGAGAGTAACAGTTAAATGATAATAACTACCTCGGATATTTTCTTTTTTCCAGGGTGTACCTTCTAATGAAATACTTACCATATTATCCAGCATTCCTGAGGCTGAAAAATTTGCTAAATTTTGGATCTGCAAAGCAAAGTTGTTGGCAAGTAAAGGCACCTTTGATGTTATTGGGCTATACGAAGAGGCCATTAAAAATGGAGCAGCAGTAAGTATCTGACTTGAGTGGGTGACTTCTTAAAATTCTCTTTCATGTGAGTTATTTGCAATGTGGCGATTATATAATGTAGTGTTAAACTTCTAATTCACTTCATACAGTTATACATGGACTATGAATACAGTATGTCCTTTATGAATATTTTAATTAAAATATTTTTTAGAGAACAGGATTACATGTAAACCAATAGGATCAGTTTTTTTATCAAATGACTGTGTCTCACTTAACATTCATATCCAATACTTATAAAGAACCTAAAAATACATTAAACCCAACACATCAGTATCTATAAATCAATAATTCAGAGCCATTGCATTAAATAACTTTTAATTCTAAAACCTAGAAAAAAACACTATGTATGTAATTATTTTTCACAAAGACTGCATCAGTTTTATAATGCTTTCCACTTAAATGTCATTTGCCATGTCATACTCCATACTATACAATACCCTTTTCCATAATTATTCAAAATCAGTTGTGTACATGCACATAGTTTCAACAGTTTAATAGTTCAGTAAGTTTTATTCAGTAAGGCCTCTGCCTCCCTCCCTTCCCATTACCCCTGTCCCAGAGCAAACAGATTATTTTTATATTAGCCTGAATAGTTTCAGAAAACATGGTTATGCTGCTATTTCTTGATTTTTCATTTTTCAAAATGCTATGTGGACTTCCAGCTATGCAGGATGAGGATTTAATCCTCTTTCACATACCTGCACAGCTCCCCAGCACACATATATATACACCCCTGTTTATCATCCTTGGCAGTTCTTTGTCATCCCTTATACTTCCATTAGAGTCATATGGAAATTCTGGTCACTATTTAGGGTTCACATTGTTATGAATATGTAAGAAATATAGTAATGAGGCATGTAGTATATACTGTAATTACTTTCCCTTTCAAGCACAACTTTTGACTTTTCCTAGAAGTAATTATTGTCAGGTTTTGCCTTTGCTTAGTTTTCTGAGTATTGTATAATTAATTCTCAAACTCTTCTCTAATTGTCTAATACTTTCAAAGCATATTCTATTGATTTCTTTTTCTTAGAGATCTCTGTCCTAGACCCTTGTGGTTTACTCCATGCTGGACAAGTCATCAGCTGTCATTCTGGGGTTTCTTTTAACTAGCACCCTCAGATTTCCTTGGTTCCTAGAGCCCATATCAAGTTTTCTTCTTATATTGCCTATTTTCTGGCTAGGCACAGTGGCTCATGCCCATAATCCTAGCACTCTGGGAGGCCAATGCAGAAGGATTGCTTGAGGTCAAGAGTTCAAGACCAGCCTGAGCAAGAGTGAGACCCCCCATCTCTACCAAAAAGAAAAAGAAAAAAAGAAACCAACCAGACATTTTGGCGTGCACCTCTAATCCCAGCTACCCGGAAGGTTGAGGCAGAAGGATCGCTTAGACTCCAGGAATTGGTGGTTGTAGTGAGCTACAGTGGCATCACTGCACTCTACCCAGGGCAGTGGAGTGCAGGTCTGTCTCAACACAAAAAAAAAGAAAAAAAAGGCAACTATATTGCCTATTTTTCTCTAGTCCTTTTCTTTCTCTCTTTTTCTTCCTCTTTCTTTCCCCCCTCTTCTCTCTCTTCTCTCTCATTGTTTTGTTTTCTTCTCTATTGTTCACATAAGGCTTTACTCATATTTTGATGAAACTGAGCTGTTTGCATGTGTAAGAGGTGGGTTTTAAAAAGTTTATTAGAAGCTCTAGATACATATCTGTCTTCAGCATAGGGTGAACTGCCTGAGTTAATTGGTTGGAAAACCCTCAATATCAGTATCTTTAGGTCTATTCTCTTAAACTGGTCAAATTCTCTAGCTACCTGAGAGCTAGAAACCAGGCTGCCAACATTGTGGGGGAGAAGATAGCTGGAGTCTTAACTTTCACCATGGAACTTTCATTTATCCCCTTTTTTCAGTAGGCACCTCACCCTGAGTCTTGCACGATGTCCACCAGAGACTTGGATAATATATCCCCATTTTCTGTTAGGATGAAGGGGGTCAGACACAGTCACCAGGCTTCAAGGAGTTGAGGGTACAGGGTGGATTTGAAGGCCTGACTGCTTTTTGAACAAATACTCAAGAGTCCTCCTGATTTGGGCTCTACCACCTGTTCCTGAGCGTTTCAGAGGCCCCGTGGTGTTTCTCAGCCACACGGCTAGCTTAGGATTCGGCTCTCAAGTTGGTCTACTTGCTTACCTCTCTTCCTTCTGAGTTGCAGCTTCCAAAATCTTGTTGCTATTTCTTCTTGCCTGTGTTTTGTGGTTATTGCCTCTTTTTAATCCCTTTATTATCATTTCAGTATATTTTCAAGAGGGATTAGAGATAAATGGATATTTAATCCACCATCTTTAACCAGAAGCCTGTAGAAATGTAAAATACACTTGATGAGTGTTTTACATAATTGAGACTCTTTGCAATGGATTCTATATAGATTTATTCCCATTCATTATTCTTAAGGTATAATTCCATTTTAGATTTTATAAAAATTTATGAAAAGCTTTGCTTTTATGCTCTATTGTTAGTTTATTCTTTATTTGATACAGAGTCCCAGGTCAGGAAGACAAACCTCCAAATATAATGTTCCTATGGGAAAGTACAGTTCACTTTATGATATTCTTCTGTTTAATGGCATGGTTTACATACTTTGAAAAATGAAAACTGTTTCACATAATTTTATGAGAAAATTACTTTTCTATAAAGATTTTTTATTTTTTAAGTTATGTTATATTATCAAATAAAAGAAGAAAGGAAAAGCTAGGGAAAATTGCCCAAAATGCTAACAAAAATTGTATTTGGGTAATGGGATTATGGGTGATTTCATTTGCTAAATTTAACCTATTGTTCAATTTTTCTGTAGCAAGGTATATGACTTTTATAATAAAAAACAAAATTGGGGCCAGGTACCGTGGCTCCTGCCTATAAACCTAGCACTTTGGGAGGCCAAGATAGAAGAATTGCTTGAGGCCAGGAGTTCAAGACCAGCCTGAGCAATAGCAAGACTCCATCTCTACAAAAAATAGAAAAAATTATCTGGGTGCAGCACTGCGCACCTGTAGTCTCAGCTACTCTGGAGGCTGGGACAGGAAGATCACTTGAACCCAGGAGTTTGAGGTTGTGGTGAGCTATGATAACACCACTTCACTCTAGTTCCAGTGACAGAGCAAGATTCTGTTTCCAAAAAAAAAATTAAGACAACATTAAAAATATGTGATACATTTTCTGTATGGCTAGTTTTGCATCTTTTGGCCAGAATCTGTATGTGGGAACACTTATTCAATGGTATCATACAAATCAATAGGAAAATATAATTTGATTTAGAGAAATGACATTGTAGATAACTTTAAACACATTTCTTCATTAAAGTCAAGTGTTTAGCACTTAACCAAAATTTTCTGTTTCTTCATTTTTCTCATAAAGCTTTAAACTGAAAAGCTAGATAAGAGATACATAGCTAGACAAGACATTTAAAAACAAGGAAACATTTTTATTATGAAAAGTTTAATTGATGTTAAAGTTCCTTAGCAAATTTTTCCATGAGTGTTTTTAATACTGTTCCTATATTTTCTTTCTTCCAGCCAATACAAGAGTTGCGAAAAGTTGTTCTTAATATTTTGCAAGACCCAAACAGAGCCACAGAAGGTACTGTTATTTTTGTATTTACATTCATTTCCCCTAGCTGTACAAATAAAAATCATCTAGGAACATGTAAGTAAAAAAAGGAGAAGAATTATAAGTCCCCTGAAATGCCTCTCACTCCTTGATTTCCACAGCCTGGCCCTTTCAACCATTGTCATCAGCCGATTATTCCTTTTTTTTTTTCCTAGTGTATTTCAAAATTTAGAGGGTACAGGTATATTTTGTCACATAGATGAATTGTGTCATGCCGAAGTCAGGGCTTTCAGTGTACCCATCACCAGAATAGTGTACATTGTACACAGTAGGTGGTTTTTTATTTCTATCATTATAAGTAAATACAGTGCTCAATACTGAACAAAGGTTATTTTCACCAGAACAGCCTAGACTAGAGTCTCCTGCTTCTCCAGAATCCTAGGTTGGAGAAGACAAACAGCTCTTTATCAGAAGAGACTGAGGCAAAAGGGAGAAATGCCTTGGTTTAAATTACTTGTTTAATCATAAACCCACCAACACTCATCTACATTTGATTAGCCAAAAGGCTAAGAAGTGATGCCCAGCACTCATATAAATTCATGTTATCCCTTTAAAAATAGCCACCTCAGAAATCTCTTCACTTTGTTAATCATATTATCATTGGTCAGAACCTTTAGAGGACTCTTCTATGAGAAATATGCCAAAAACAGTGAGTGACATTATAATTGCTAATGATACTTGTTATATGAATGGGAAGAAAAAACAAGCTATCTTTAGAAAATAAAATGGATTCTTTTATTATCTTAGAGGGTGACAAATCTTTTTAAGAGTAGATTTCACGGGAGTAGGGGGGGAATCAAGTCATACGGAATTAATCTAAGTAGCCCACTACTTTTAGGAACAAGGTCATAGAGTAGATAATACTCAGTGGTAAACTTGCTGGAGATGATGCTACCATTCAGGTATTCACTTATACTATAACAGTGTTCTTCAAAGGGATGAAAAGAGAAAACAGGAATTCATACCATTGCCGCTTTTTGATCCTATTGACTTTCCTTAGGGTCTTTACTTTGCCTGGCCATAGTGTTTGCCTGGCACAGTCCTATTTTCTTCTTTTCATTTTGGTTGTTAATGCAGACATTTTTCACCCACTGTCCAAGGTAATAGCTATGCAGTCATCCCTGGGCAGGGAGGGATTTGGGCGGTCAAGTGAGTTAACCCTAGTAAGTCAAGAAAATTGATTCAATGTATGATGTAAGGGTAGAAGGCCAGTGATTAGTCCCTAAGTGAGTTCTCTTGAGAGTGAATAAGAGGTGGAGTTTTGTTCAGAGTGTTGAAAGGGAATCTTCAACTGTCTAGACTGGGCACTGAACCAGAGTTAGGAGCGTAGCCTGATGTAGCAGGGCATTGTTATAGGGCCTAGCAGGAAAAATGAGTTATAAGCCCCATTTCAAATCAATTACTTCTTATTTAGTATAAAAGTCCATGAAGATCACTGGGAAATTATTGTATGTGTTACTTTTTCATTTAATTGTTTTTTAGCTCAAGTATTAAATTAAATCTTACTTTCCTTTCTGACCTTGCATATACATGAATTATTTCTGACTCTTTAGTTGCTGAAACTAATATAACATCAGTGGAAGAACTGGCCATGAAGATGGAATCTGTAAAGCCTTGTGTTTCTCCACAAGAGAAGGAACAAGTTACAGCAACACCCCAAATAACCAAGGCAGAACAAGATAATCATCCTGGTATCAAATTACAGATTGCTTCAATCCCTAGGTAAGGAAACCCTAAAGCAGGCTTTGTGTTCACAGACTTAATTAATCCATTTCTCAGTTTCTCCTTCACAGATCCAGAGTAGCAGCAGTTTGTAGATAACCTCTGCTTTATATGTGGTCTAGGCAGCCTAGTCCATCTTTGGCGTTTAGGAAGGAGCTGAGGGTGAGGGGAGGTTGGAACTATCAACAGGAAGGTCTTCTCTCTGCACACACATCAGCCCCCTCCCACCACCGATGATGAGACCTGACCTGCAGTGAGGAAAGTGCTGCCAGAGTCAGAAGGGATATTGGAATGGATTCACCCTTTCCCTCCTACCTCTTAACTCCCATTTGTCCTGCACCTGCAGATCCCTCCTGCCTTTCCTATGAACCCTGGCACAAATGCTGCGGGGAGGGACACAAAACCACTAGCAGGCGCAAACTAACCATAGGAGAGAAGTAGATGGTGAATAGCACTATAAGAACAGGGAGGGATGGCTGGGCGCGGTGGCTCATGCCTGTAATCCTAGCACTCTGGGAGGCCGAGGTGGGCAGATTGCTCAAGGTCAGGAGTTCAAAACCACCCTGAGCAAGAGCGAGACCCCATCTCTATTATAAATAGAAACAAATTAATTGGCCAATATACAAAAAATTAGCCGGGCATGGTGGCGCATGCCTGTAGTCCCAGCTACTCGGGAGGCTGAGGCAGGAGGATTGCTTGAGTTTGAGGTTGCAGTGAGCTATGATGACACCACTGCACCTTACCCAGGGCAACAGAGCGAGACTCTATCTCAACAACAACAACAAAAAGAATATATTTCTTACCTTCAGCTGTAATAAATGTTTTTCTATTTGCTCTCACATAACTCTTAAAATTTAATAATCAATGTCAAAACTCATTGAAACATAAAATCAAAATGGATGAATTTTATTATACGTATATTGATTGTACCTTGGTAAAATTGAAATTTTTTAAAAGTTTAAAAAAATCAGTGATCAGACTGATTTCTGCATACCTGATATAATAAATATTAGGAGATGTGAGAGTAACAGTTAAATGATAATAACTACCTCGGATATTTTCTTTTTTCCAGGGTGTACCTTCTAATGAAATACTTACCATATTATCCAGCATTCCTGAGGCTGAAAAATTTGCTAAATTTTGGATCTGCAAAGCAAAGTTGTTGGCAAGTAAAGGCACCTTTGATGTTATTGGGCTATACGAAGAGGCCATTAAAAATGGAGCAGCAGTAAGTATCTGACTTGAGTGGGTGACTTCTTAAAATTCTCTTTCATGTGAGTTATTTGCAATGTGGCGATTATATAATGTAGTGTTAAACTTCTAATTCACTTCATACAGTTATACATGGACTATGAATACAGTATGTCCTTTATGAATATTTTAATTAAAATATTTTTTAGAGAACAGGATTACATGTAAACCAATAGGATCAGTTTTTTTATCAAATGACTGTGTCTCACTTAACATTCATATCCAATACTTATAAAGAACCTAAAAATACATTAAACCCAACACATCAGTATCTATAAATCAATAATTCAGAGCCATTGCATTAAATAACTTTTAATTCTAAAACCTAGAAAAAAACACTATGTATGTAATTATTTTTCACAAAGACTGCATCAGTTTTATAATGCTTTCCACTTAAATGTCATTTGCCATGTCATACTCCATACTATACAATACCCTTTTCCATAATTATTCAAAATCAGTTGTGTACATGCACATAGTTTCAACAGTTTAATAGTTCAGTAAGTTTTATTCAGTAAGGCCTCTGCCTCCCTCCCTTCCCATTACCCCTGTCCCAGAGCAAACAGATTATTTTTATATTAGCCTGAATAGTTTCAGAAAACATGGTTATGCTGCTATTTCTTGATTTTTCATTTTTCAAAATGCTATGTGGACTTCCAGCTATGCAGGATGAGGATTTAATCCTCTTTCACATACCTGCACAGCTCCCCAGCACACATATATATACACCCCTGTTTATCATCCTTGGCAGTTCTTTGTCATCCCTTATACTTCCATTAGAGTCATATGGAAATTCTGGTCACTATTTAGGGTTCACATTGTTATGAATATGTAAGAAATATAGTAATGAGGCATGTAGTATATACTGTAATTACTTTCCCTTTCAAGCACAACTTTTGACTTTTCCTAGAAGTAATTATTGTCAGGTTTTGCCTTTGCTTAGTTTTCTGAGTATTGTATAATTAATTCTCAAACTCTTCTCTAATTGTCTAATACTTTCAAAGCATATTCTATTGATTTCTTTTTCTTAGAGATCTCTGTCCTAGACCCTTGTGGTTTACTCCATGCTGGACAAGTCATCAGCTGTCATTCTGGGGTTTCTTTTAACTAGCACCCTCAGATTTCCTTGGTTCCTAGAGCCCATATCAAGTTTTCTTCTTATATTGCCTATTTTCTGGCTAGGCACAGTGGCTCATGCCCATAATCCTAGCACTCTGGGAGGCCGAGGTGGGCAGATTGCTCAAGGTCAGGAGTTCAAAACCACCCTGAGCAAGAGCGAGACCCCATCTCTATTATAAATAGAAACAAATTAATTGGCCAATATACAAAAAATTAGCCGGGCATGGTGGCGCATGCCTGTAGTCCCAGCTACTCGGGAGGCTGAGGCAGGAGGATTGCTTGAGTTTGAGGTTGCTGTGAGCTAGGCTGACGCCATGGCACTCACTCTAGCCTGGGCAACAAAGCGAGACTCTGTCTCAAAAAAAAAAAAAGAACAGGGAGGGAAATTGACTATGTACTAGTCAGAGAATACTCATAATATCAGAAGCATTTTGTTTTTTAACAAGAATCAGTTTAAGGCAGAATCCATAGTAATTTTAAGAGCTGCGTCAGGATGTCAATGTCATTTTCTAAAATGTTAGTGTGGCATCATTCTTCTCTGTTCATGATCTAGAAAGGAAAATTCCAAACAAGAGCACCAGGATAACAGTTCTGTATTTCAGTTCCCTGGAAAGTACAGCTGGCCTCTGCCAATCCTGATCTCCTCTCCCAGACATGCCATTCCCCATTGCAGGTAGCTCATGGGTAGATGAAAACAGGCATTTGATCTGAAAACCACCTCTTAATGGCTCTAGAATTTATTATGAGAGCTTATTAGTAGACCTGCCCCCTAATTTTACTTAGGCTAATGTAATCAGTGGTTTTGTGGATTGTAGGCCGATTCACTACGTAGAACAACCTCTGCATCCTGTCCTCCAGGCTACTTTTTGTTGGAATGCATTTACAGTTTTACAAGGAAGATGACCAATTTGTGCCAGTTTCGACTGTGGTTTGGTCTGCCATCTTAAAAGATGCTTTTTGAATAATTTACTATCAAAGCTAGAAAGAATCTGGGAATTTATCAGTTCCAAACAAATTGGGATTAGGCCCAATTTCCTTAAAACATGTCAACTCCTTTGAAAGTTTATAAATTAAACAAACACCAACTACCAAGTAGTTAAGTAGTTAACTTCAGATAAAAACCACATTTCACACTTCATTCAGTAAATCCCTGTGGTTACACTATCCAGGAGCAGGTGAACACCACCCAGTACATTTTGGAAATCAGGGAAAAGCCATCTAAGACAAGAGCTGCTTTGGACATATCTATTGTTATCAACCTACTTTGAAATGTCTGTTATGTTTCATTATGGAATAAGAAACAAAAAATAATAAAAAGAAATTTTTTTAAGTTGTAAGGTTTTGAATGTATCTCTTGCTCTCTCTCAGAATAAATGGAATGCCAGAAGTGCAAGACATGAAGTTTATCACTCCTGTTCGGCGTTCAGCAAGAATCGAGCGAGCAGTGTCCCGCTACCCAGAAATGCTGCAGGAACATGATTTAGTAGTGGCTTCTCTTGATGAACTATTAGAAGTGGAAGAAACAGAGTGTTTTATATTCCGTAGAAATGAGGCTTTGCCTGTAACATTAGGGTTTCAAACCCTTGAATCATAATATCCTCAAGCATTTTTTTAAGTGTTTTTTTAAATACTTTCACAGTCTCCGTGAATAAGAAATTCTCTTGTCCAAGTGACCTGGAAAATATATATATATTTTTCACAGCCTCCATGAGACAAGAAATTCTCTTGTCCAAGTGACCTGAAAAAATATATACAATGGAGAGACATCATGGATGCAGAATATGGACTCTCAGAACTTAGGAAGTAACTCACTGGGCTTACTCTCAAATTTTAAATCCCCATGGGAAAGTCTTTGGTTTATATGTTTAAGACTACAGTTTGCCACAATTTTACAGTATACATACATTTCGAACTTCTGAATATTAATTTACCCCACAACTATGATAAAGCTTTGCACTTTATTAGTCTACTTTAATCCCTGCATAGTTATTTTTTATAAACAGAAGATTGGTCCCGCAACATGATGGACTGTCTTTTACGTATCCATGTAAGCAGAGAGACCTTACAGCATGGAAGATCTGAGCTTTGAAACCAGCCTTCCAGGCTCAATGAAACTTGACAGACAACCAGATCAAATCCTCTTGTTTTACAGATGAGTTTATACTAGCTATGCCATTGCTCCAAGGTCACAAATGACATGTGTGATCTTTGCCTTCACCACCATATCCTTGTAAATGAGGGGTAATTCTTATCCTTTCTGTGCCAGGTCTCCTTAAATAAAGCACCATCCTGAATTGGGATGGTCATCTAGCTTTTTATATCCAAACCTAATTTTGCATTTGTTATTCAGAAGCACTTCAAGTAAAACAAAAGAGGACAGAGGAGAGGTGTGGGAAGGGGACACTTGCTTCAAATCTTTCCTCTGCTAGGGGTAGCTGGCCTGAGAAGGAAGTGTGAGTCCCAGCGACTAATAAGTTGCTTTTCCTTCCTCCTGGGCAACTGTTCTTGGAAAGGTAAAATCAGAGTCATTTTGTAAATATAATGTGTAGAGAAACCTAGTTAACACATTTTAAATTTTAGCTTTCTTAATATTTAAGTATTATCTAAAATTTAAAAAAAAGTTTTTGTTCATTCCAGCTTATTTATCTTATTTGTTATAAAAAACAGTGATGATGGCTTGGCGTAGCGAACTAAGGGTTTGTCTGAGAAAACACCAATAGGCTATTTCAAGAGGCCTCACAGGGAGCAGTCATTACCCTGGAGAATTTACTTTAATCAAAAGTCTATCAGCCCCACCTAGGAACTGGATTTTTTTCATTGTAAAGGAAGCAGATCTATTTTTCGAGGTCAGATTTATAATAACAAAGTTCATAAAACTAAACTATAAAACTGTAATTCCAGCAGACTAACTTTCAATAAGAAATAGACTCCTATAAGTCAATAGCAAAAAAAACAACCCAATTAAAAAATGGACAAACAACCTGAACAGTCATTTCTCCGAAGAAGACAAAAATGACCAAAACTATATCAAAAGGTGTTCAACATTACTAATAAAGAAAATGCAAATTAAAACCACTGCAAGACATCACCTCATATCCATAAAGATGGATATTATCAAAAAGGTTAGATATAACAAATGTTGGTGAGGTCTGGGAGAAAGGGAACCCTAGTACACTATTGGTGGGAATGTAAATTGGTATAGCCATTGTGGAAAACAGTATGGAGGTTCCTAAGGAAATTAAAAATATGACCCAGCAATCCCTCTTCTGAGGCCAAAGAAGATGAGATCACCACTTCATTAAGATATCTCCACTCCCATGTTTATTGCAGCATTATTCACAATAGCCAAGATATGGAAATAACCTAAATGCCCATCAATGGATAAAGAAAGTGTGATAAACATACACACACTGGAACATTATTCTTCGAAAAGGAGATTCTGCCATTTGCCACAACATGGATGGACCTGGAGGACATTATGCTAAGTGAGACAAGCCAGACATAGAAAAATATTGCATCTCACATGTGGATATAAAAGAAGTAGATCTATTTCTCAAGGTCACATTGATAATAAAAATTTTAAAACCTCAACTCAACAGAGATAGAGGAAACAGTGGTTACCACAGATGGAGGAAGAGGAATGTAGGTTAAATGATACAAAATAGAAATGTGGGATGTACAAGTCAAGAGATCTGTACAACATGGGCACTAAAGTTAATAAAATTATATTGCCTTATGGAGTTTTGTTAAATAAGTAGATTTTATCTGTTCTTGTCACAAAAAAACTAAAATGATATGTTAATCTGCTTTACTATGGTAACCATTTTCTCTCTTTTTCTCTCTCTCTCTCTCTCTCTCTCTATATATATATATATATATATCCATAACCTGTAAAACTCAAATATATCCAATAAAACTTATTTTTTAAAGAGTTTGTCACCACAACCAAAATGCAGGAATCCACATGGCCAGTCCTTTCCTTCCCGAAACCAAATAATTCTCAGAGGGTTGCTTAGTGCTTATAAAATCTGAACATGGGACTTAGATGAATCAAATATTCAAAATCTCCAAGCTAAGAGATTCTGAAGCAAATCCTTCCACGTTAGGAAAAGCCTCAGATCTCAGATACTCTGTCCTTGGTCCATTGACCAGGTCCTCAGGATTTATCCTGCACTACTATCCTCTGCTGGTGCATTTACCTTTTCTTTGGTTTCTAGCATGGTTCATCCTTGCCACTTAATGTCCTCTCTCTGCGTCAGGCCTGGAAGTCAGTTGTCTCTCTGGTGGTTTTATGTATCTGTCCTCAAAACCATTGTCTTGACATTACAGCTTAGTTCTCAGAAGAGCAGTTTTATTTCCTTTATTGCCAGTTCTTTGCAGGATGTCTCACAGTACCACCCTAGGTACTAACTGTAGGTTGAACTATTGGTATCTAAGAATGTATAAATTTCAAAATGACAAATTAGAGATTTTGAAAAGCCTGATCAGACTGTAGACAGTCTTCCAGGCACAAAAGATGTGGAAATGATTGTGGATGCTACAGCAATTGCAGAAAACTACACCCTGATTCTGGGATTTTTCGTAGATACTCAAGAGCTCTCTTGTGTAGTAAATAGTTGTTCCTAGTCAGGGAGCAGAAGGGAAGAAAAGTGGAAAGGAAAGAAGTCAGTCCCTTAATCACTTGGGAAGAACGTTCATAGGGAATTGTAATGGAAATATAGGCCTTTGCAGAAATCAAGTCTAATATTGCTTAAGCACACCTTTTTAGAGGAGGTAAATGTATAGTGAGTTTTAAAGGAAGATAAACAAGCTTTAAAGGAAGATAATACAGCATCACTATTGAGAATGATCATGAACCAGAAGTCGTGGAGGAGAGGCATGGCAGTTCACACTTATTTGTGCTTACTCTATGCCAGGCACTCTGCTGAGGCTTTCACATGCTGTAAAAGACAGATTTTGCCTGCCTGGCATGTACTCCCTCTTCTAATAAAAGCACCCCATTTTCCCTACTAGCACCTCTTTTCTACTCAGTCCAAGAGGTGGTTGGAGAAGAAGGGACTCCACCCAGGGGTGAGCATATGACCCAGACCTGGCCAACCACAGCCCGGCATCTCTGGCCAGTGGCATTGATTGCAGGATGAGGTCATGTCTCAGTAAGAGCCAGTGAGACTCCATTTCCCAGACTTTTGTTGGAAAGAGACTTTTCCTGGTGGAGTTGTTGAAAAAATAAGATAGAAATCTGGAGCTTGAGGACATCCGTCTTATAACCACGCAGACAAAATCTGCCAGAGAATAGTATCAACAAGGACTGAACTAGAGAGCTGGAGAGAGCAAAGTTATGTCCAATGACATCGATTTGACCCCCTGGCTAACACAGCCTGGAGCTGTTCTAGCCCTGGACTTTTTAGTTATAAAATTCCTTTTCAATAAATTTCCTTTTCTCTTAAACCATTTTTATTAGGTTTCTGTCAGTTGCTAATGAAAAAATCCTGACTAATGTACAAACTCAAAGTTAGTAAACTCTTATTTAGAGCTTATTCTGGCCAAGCTCAAATCTCACTACATCCTCACCATATCTTTCTGACATATTAATAGATATGGAAGCAAAGTAGTTAAACAGTAAATGACAAGCCTGCAATTTCAAACTTAGGGCTGTCTGGCTCCAGGTCCCAAGCTTTTAGCTCCTATCTCTGTTTAAAGCAGGGAACTGACAGATAATGAGGAAAGAGCAAATCTGAGAGAAAGAAATTCTTAAACTCTTCCCAAGCTACCAAGTAGGAATCACTGTGATAGTCAAAGTACTGTCATTTATTCTGCAAATAAACGGTCACATTTTTACCATAGTTCACTACCCCAGGGATGCTGCTTCTGCCCTCATTTCCTGACTGCTCCAGACTCGATGCCAGAATCAGGATATCCATTCAGCTGCTGTAACTAGACCCAAATGGAAATGCCTCTCTCCCTCACACCAGCAGTCCAAGTGACAGTCCAATGCTAACATGGTGCCAGGCCCAGGCCACATCTGTCTTGTGACTCAGACTCAGCCCTCGGGTGCAGCCTAGTCCATGTGGCCAAGGACGGCTCCCAGCCCACTTTGCTCTCCAGGCAGTGGGAAAGGGGAAGAGAAGAGGGAGGCAGCCTCTCCTAAGATCACAACTTGGAAGTTGGATGCATTACCCTTGTCCAGGATGGCGGGGCTAGAACTTGGTCACATGTCCCCACCCCTCTTCAAGGAAAGCTGGGAAATGTCTATCAAGTGGCCACATGCCCAGCTAAAAATTCTTTCAGAAATGGGTGATGATCATCAGTGTCTGTACACACAGTCTTTAGAGTAATGGTGTATCTCTCTAAGGTGTAAATAAACTGGAGTATAGAGGTGACATCAGGTTTTTAAAGAAAAAAGCCTGCATCAAATTAATAGTCCCCAAATAGAAGTATCTGTCCTACCCTACCCAGACAAGTTCCTAAGAGTCTAGGAGAGCTAAGCCACGCTTTGTAGCCTTTCTCCCCTTTGCCCTCATCTCATATCCTTTGCCCCACCTTTTCCCCTGAAGTTCTACAAGCAGCACTAGAGTAATAATAAACTGGGTGACATGGCTCATTCAATATTATATATAGGACACTGCAGATGGCAGACATATAATGGTGAGCCAGAATGACCTGACCCCACGGAGCTAAGAGTGTGGTGGGGACACATTAATCTAAGAATCACAAATGTAAAAATGTGAGTCCTGAGAAAGAAAGGCCTGTGGGCGAGGGACTAAGAAGAAACTGGTCTAGTCCGGGAAGCCAGGAGGCCCGGTAAGGACGGAGGGAAGAGCAGGTGTAACAGGGAGAAGAGACGGGGGGTGCTTTAGACAGAGGAAAGTACCAGGAAGGCCCTTCAGCCACTCTCTCCCCTCCCTCCGGCCCCTGAGTCACTTCTGCCTCATCCATCAATCCTTGTCTACATTCTTTCTACCCTCAGTGGGAAGTCTAAGGGCTGATTTTTGTAGTATTGGCTACTATACTATATTTCAGGACCTTTCCAGAAAAGCATGGGCCCTAGGATCAGAGCAGTTTTGCTGATAAAATACTATCCTCTAGCCCCTGATTAAGAGTCTAGTGTTTAAAGTCACAAAGCCGGCGAGAACTGGTGCTTGCCTGGAGAACCCGGCCCTGCAGACTCTGGAGTCTGAAAGTCAATCCAGGGAGGACAAGGAAAGGCCTTAGCAATGCCAGACCTGGAAGCTTCTGAAATGCACAGATGTAGAAAAAATGTGAACTCTCCGAGCACGTGCCCTGTTGTCTCTTATTCCAAGTGTTTCCATTGTTTATCCACAGAAAATGAAACTAGTGAACAGTGTCATCAGACCTATTCCTTCAAGGGTTTGCTTTGTTATTTCAAACATGTACAATACATTCATTCTGAGTCCCATACAATGCTAGATGATACCACTGACAGACAAAAAATGAACTGTAGGAGTAAATTAAAATCAGGGCCATCAGAACAATGAAGGGCCAGGACTTAATACCACAGAGAAGCTTCTAACAAACTAAAGAATCAAGTTTTTCAATCATGAGTATGACTTTTTGTGTTTTAATGCATGCATCCTCCCTAAAAGAAGTGCTCATGGGCTCTAAATCTGCTGCATTTAGGAGATTTCAATACAATTGCTTTTTCCTTCTTCCACATTTCTCCTGTTATCCAAAAAATATCTCCAGTAGATGACTCATGATGCTGGCTGGTGTCTGGGATTCAGTTGTCCCGAATGCAGCCTTCCTGGTCCTCAGCTCTCTGTTTGCCCTTCTCCTATAAGAAACAAAGAACATGGCTATGGAAACTTTCTTCCCAAGTTCACACAGAGGACCCTAGCCAGGGGTAGGAAATGTGTCAAAATGCCCTAATTGATGTGGATGGGGTGAGGACTTAGAGGGGTCAAACCACACACTTCCAGGGAAGCCCACCATTCCTGACAAGAGTGCATCTGGCCCTCTGGTGGGCTGGGATAGAAAAATAGCTGCAAACCACTGATTAAAGGTTATGAATGCACTTGAATTTTGAGCTTCTCCTAGGCAGGAGCAAAGTAGCTCAGGATTCATCTTCTAACATTGCCAAGGTGCTCCGTAAACGCTGTTGAAAGAGCACACGCTGTGCCTGGAACCACCCACCCAAAGGGAACCTATGAGATGGGTATTTAAAAAGCGAGCCCTGGCAGGGCATGGTGGCTCACGCCTGTATTCCTAGCACTTTGGGAGGCCAAGGCAGGAAGATCACTCAAGGTCATGAGTGCAAGACCAGCCTAAGCAAGAGTGAGACCCAATCTCTACTAAAATATATATATAGCAAGCCCCAGGAAAGCCAGGGTAGAAGCAGGAACCCTAAGACAGGCTTCGGGTATGCAGAACCCAGGGAGGAGAGGAGCGAGGCAGCCACTCATGTCTCAGCTCAGAGGCAGGTCAAGCAGCACAAAGCCTCAGGGTTCTGAAGCAGAGCTGCTAGCCATGGGTGTTGGGAGGGTGCCCTTCCTGCTACCTCCCCCAGAGGGGAGGGGTTGGTACAATGGATCAGCCAGCAGGGGTGTGTGGGGTGCAGGACCCAGCTAACCCCTGTGGAGCAGAACCTGTGGGCCTTTCCAACCCAATGCCCCACTTTGAAAACAAATACTTTAATTTCCCCTTGTCCATCCTGAATTGAAATTCATAGATAATTTTCATCTCCATAATTTTAAAAGTCAATATAATACACTAACTATAACAAAGGAGAAATAAAAAGAAAAGCAATTTACAACAAAATCATATGTATTTCTCCATAAATACTCAGGAATGACCACACTTAAAAATAAAAAAGACTCTTGCAAATTTTCAAGTGCCCCCTGGGTAGCACCACCCCGTTGGGAACCACTGCTGTAGCCCACGGGAGCCCCAAGCCACAGAGCCCCTCCCAGCCACTCACCGTCTGGCTGCAGGGGAGGGGGCAGGCGGTGGTGGCCAGACTGGCCCGTTCTTGCTCCACAACTGACTCATGTGGCATCTGTAGGGACAAAAGTGATGGAGATAGAGCAGCTCCGAAAGGCTGTTGCAGAAGTGGGAGCTAGGAGGGTTGGCAGGGGAAGGAAGGTTCTGGCAGCTGGATTTTACCTCTCTAAAAAACCCCAGGCCAGCACTGTCGACTAAAGGTCCCTAGGGGGTGCTTTCTGTTCACCTGTCTCGTCTCTATTTAGCAGTGATGTCTAACAGTATTAATGGCTATGCCTGGGACCCCCAGCTTTGCCAAGGGGGGTGCCAAGTGAGAGCATGCAGGGGCACAGTGCAGGGGACAAAATGTGCCCCCTGGGTTCAAATCCCAGCTCTGGGGTCCACGAACTGTATGACAGCAAGTTACAGATTCTCTGTGCTTCCATTTAACCAATGGCAAAATGAGGATAATAAAAGCTACTTTGCTGAGTTACACTGAGCATTAAACATAGTCGATGAAAAGCACCTAGCCCGGTGCAGGAAACATAGCAGACAATAAATGGTTTTTCCCCATTCGAACAGCTGGAAGGCAGCCAAAAAGGCAGGGAAAGCAGGAGACAGGGAGCCTTGAAGACCCGGTTTCGAGTCCAGATCCTTCCCTGCAGACTGTGCATCTTATAACATGGAAACAATGATGCTTTCTTAGAAGACTGACCTGCAAGCTCGGCTCCCGCCACCCTTGCCCAGTGACCTCACAGCTGCCTCTACTTCCCTGATCTCAACCCCGGAGCATCTTCTATCTCCCAGAGGAAAACCAGCCGGGTGTTTACTGTATCACCTGCTGCTTCCTCTGCCTCGTCAGCAGTCACTGTGTGTTTACTGAGGATAGGACAGTGCCTTCCTCCCCGAAACTGGTATCATTTCTACCAAGGAAACGAGGAGGCAGTGCGGTCTCAATTTAAAGCAGGAGTTAAGGCTAGGCATGAGGAGGAACCTCCCCAGCACAGGCGTCTCATCTCCATCACCTTAACGCCTCCCATGCATGTTTTAGGGTGTGGACGGTTATCTGCAAGGCCTTTGTGTCTGAGGCGGGAAATTGAGTCTGGCAAACTTGCAAGCTCCAGGCTGGGCTGGGGACCAGTGAGTCCCTCTGGGGGGGACAGTGAGGGACCCACCAACTCCGGGGCCGCACGGAACAGCGAGCTGAGCGGGTAGTGCAGGAAGTTGAGGCAGGTGGCAGTGTAGAGGTCTGCGTAGCGCATCAGCTGGCTGGAGAAGAGCGTCTGGCGGAAACCACAGCGGAACAGGCTGCCCATGGTGCTGTAGCGCAGGTCCAGCTCACGGGTGACCCTCTGGCCAGAAGAGCAGACGCTGAAATGAGATCCCAACCCACCTGCCCTGCACCACCCAGGGGTGGCCGCCAGCCCTGAGCGTGACCCCCTGCTAGAGCCAGCCCAGCCCTGCCCTCACCTACTCCCTCCCTGGCTCTCCCACCTGGGGACATGGAGGCCCGTGCCCACCCAAAGGGAAGGAGCTGCATGATTTAAACCCACCAGCCTCACACTGTGCTTTTGGAGGTGGAGCAGCTCTCCACTTTGCCAGAGGCCCCACTCTGGGCTTCCCTCACAGTTACCTGCCTGGTCCCGCACAGTGACCTCCCAGGACTAAACCCGCAGCCTAATTTTCCCTTTGATGGCCTGGCAGAGGACTTGGCAAAGGCTCCCAGCCCACCTGTAGGTCCCCACCCCCAGTCCCTTCCTGCTCCCCTGGCAGGTCCCCACCCCACCACGAGGCCCTACTTTTAGAGCCAGGGTGACCCTCCCTGAGCCTTAGTTTCCTCATCTGTAAAATAAAGGTGACAATCCCTACCCAGTCCCCTTGAAAGGCTGTGAGAATGATGAAATGGCTGTACTTTATACACCTTACGCTTTATAACCTGCAAAAGGCTCTGCAAAGACCCTTTGTTCTTGGTCCCAGCTGGGCCTGGCTGGGATGGACAGGTGGCCTGACTCCCTTGCCCTGGCCAGCCTGTGGGAACCCCCAGCTTTGGTGGCTGGTCAGTAATGCCACAAAGGAATGTTTTCCTTTCTTCTCTTTTTCCAAGACCCTGAGCTCACTAGCTCTAAATCACATTTCCTCAGCCCTTTCTCTGGCTGGCCCCAGACATTGATCAGAGCTGACTAGTCCGTTACCTGGGAACCCATCCCAGCAAGTATGCTCTTCTCAGGAAGGGTTATTGGTGGGGACTCAGGGACAGCAGGCAAGCCAGCAAACAAGCTCAACTCAGCCCTTCCTCAAGAGCACACTGAGGTCCTTTGGGGCCTCAGCCAGCAGAGGGCGCTGGCTGACAAGGCATGGGATCTTGGGGCGGTTGGGGAGAAGCTGGTAACTGGGCCCCAGACAAAGCAGCCCCTGCTGGGCCAGCCATCCTGGTCTGCTGCCCAACTCTCACCTGGATCTCCGTCTTGGTGGAGCTGATGACTTGCAGCCCACGACTGCTCCCATCCATGTGCCTGGAGCAAAATAGCCACGTGACCCAAGAGGAGAGGAGCAGAGCAGCGTCCTGGCACAACCTCCCCAGACCCCATGAGGGGGACACCACACGGGCTTGCAGTGGAGTGCTGGGCTGGGTGTGTGCACATGCGTGAGAGGGCAGGCCCCTGAGTCGGTGCTGTGTGGCTTAGGAGGAGAGGCCTAGAGGTCACGGAGCATGGGCAATCCCAAGGGGGGTCACAGGGGTTCGCAAGTCCAGTTCACTAGGGAAGCCCAGCCTGAAGCAGGTCTTCTTGACTTCCTGACCACCTTGGCCAGGGCCCTGCCACCAGGCCTGGACACGGACTGCCACCCCTCCATCGCTCTCCCCACACCCCCAGAAATGCCAGGGTCTCACTGGTACAGGTCCGCCAGGCACGTGTCCAGCCTCTTCAGCCGCTCCAACCGCTCTGAAAATGGGACAAGGGACAGCGGGTTGGGTGACAGCCCGGGCCACCCAGTGACCCTGCCTACCTTTGTCTGCCTGGGCCCAGATGGGGACTTCCTTCCCCCAGCGTGCACACAACATCCGAGACCCTTACGTCAGGTGAGACTCTGCCCAGAGCAGAGCAGGGACAGTGCAGGCCCCACAGGCCCCATGAGACAGGCGAGGAAGCCATTGAGGGAGTCAGGTGACCTTCCCAAAGTCACATGGCAATGAGTCATACCTAAAGCCTCAGCTCTTAGGACAAACTCCAAATTGTCTGAGCTCACAGCAGTCCCTGACCCTGAGCATGACTTCAGGTCATTCCCGGTGGGGGAGTGTACGCCTTCCAGTCACTACAAGTCCTCAGGGCAGGGTGCGGTCAGGTGAGACAGGAAGCCCCAGGCTGAGGAAACGCCACAGGACTCTGGAGTCAGGAGATGAGGATTTGAGTCCTAGCTTTGCCCCTTCCAGCTGTGTGACTTTGGGCAAGCCACTTAACCTCTCTGGCTCTCTATTTCCTTGTGCATAAAATAAATCCTCCCTCATAAGCCACAGAGTGGACAGGATTCCTGGTCACAACTAACCTTCCAGGGGAAAGGGGGAAGATAACAAAGGGCCCTCCATCTGCTCCTTCCCCTACGGCTCACCCTTCTCCCGGGCCCAGATGTCCAGCTCCCAGGACAACTCAGGAACCACCAGGCAAGTCCGCCAGCCCTGCCGCTTCTTGGACTTGAGAATGTCCCCAAAGATGTGGTCCCCAATGTACAGGATGTCCTTCCCCCGCACCCCAAGCAGCTCGCACACCACATCCGACGAGCCTGCCCACCAATAGAGGACAGACACCGCCTCACCCCTCCTGTCCTGGTGGGGCGGGGGGGGGGGGGGGGGGGGGACGCGGGCTCCTAGCAGGGGCAGGGTGGGAGCTGGTACCTCCCGAGTAGACTGCACAGTGCTGATGGGGCCCAGTGTAGGTGCCCACGCGGAGCTTCCCTGAGTCCTGGAGGGGCAGAGGGGTGCTCTGGAGTCAGGAGAACTTCATCTTCTACCCCTGGTCAGGGACCGGGGCTGGGAGCAGCCGGCTAACTACAGGCAGTGGGAGGAGGGAGGCAGCAGGGGCCCTGAAAGAGTCCCCTGGTCCCTGCCTCCAGGCAGACAGGCTCACAGAGCTGCAGCTGCCATGGCCAGTCCAGTCTAAAGGGTTGGCAGGCTCCCCCTCCCAACTGGACAGGGCCTCAGCACCTGTCATCAGCACCTGCCATTACCGTGTTGACCTGCCTCAAGACCGTCCCCTCCGCAAAGAAGCGCGGCTTCTGCGTGTCCACCACAATCAGGTCGAAGAAGGACCTCCAGGGCCTGGCTGGGGCTGCAGCCTGTGGGGCGGGCGTGGGTGTGTGCAGGCTCCCAGGGCACACGCAGCCTGGAAATCAGACCCTGCCACAGCCGGGTCACAGCTGCCATCTGTCCCCACCCGCCTCCCTCCCAGCCGGATGAGATCTCCCCAGGCTGGGAAAAGGAAGTCTCGCTGCCCATCGGCCCCAGCAAGCTGGGCGCTAGGAAGGGCTCACGGGTATTTGTGGGGTTGGCGTTGGACATCGAGTGGCTCTCGGGTCAGCCTCCAGAGCTCCTCCCAGAGCAGGCAGAGACCCAAGGACACATGGCACCAGCACAGCCACCAAGTGAGGGCCCCCCTGCCTGCCCCGAGATGCCTGGTCACTCTTAGGACCCAGACCCTGCCCTGGGCCTGCTATGCGCTCATCTCACCCTTCCCACCCCCTCCCCAGACACCTGACTGACTCTTTATGGGTCATTCTCCAAAGGTTCCTCCTGTGGCCTGGCTGAGGTCACCTGCCTCATACCCACTGGAGAGGTTCTGATGAGGCCCGGCCGTGTGGAGACCCCGCCCACACTCGGGTCTTCCTCGGGGAGAGGCTGGGCAGGGGAGAGACGCTCGCTGCGCATCACAGCCTGGGCCCCCACTTTGGGCAGCCCACCCCAGCCACAAACGCGATGCTCACCTCACTGACACCAAACAAGTAGGTCATGATGGCCTGGAGATGACAGGGCGGGGGTCAGGGCACCAGGCTTGGGCCAGGCCAGGGGACCACTGCCTGCCTCTGCCCTCACCCGCCATCCCCCCAGGGCCACGGGAGTGTGAGGTGGGGCAGCTGCTCCTTTCACTGGGGCTGGTAGGCCAGGATTCGGAACCAAGAGGCTGGCCAGGCAGCGGAGACAAGAGAGTCCCGGCTCCTCCCCTGCCCTCACTGTCTCAGCACTGCCTCAGTCTCCCTGAGGCCAGGAAGGAGGTCTAAGGCCACACACCCCAGTATACACACTCACATCGGTGTAGTCGTAGCTGCTGTTGGTGGCCAGAAACACTTTGCCAACCTCCTTCATCTTGCCCAGCAGTACGGGGATTCGTGCCTGGGGCAGAAATCAGAGTGACTTCCCGGGGCAGGATCCCCTCCCCCACAGCTGCCCTGGGATCCTCTTCTCAGGGTCCAGCCTCCTGGGAGCCCACCCCCAGCCCAGCCTCCCAGGCAGGTGGGCTGCAGGCCAGGCAGGAAGGACTGAGCGATGCCAAGGTCCAGAGCTCTGTCTACACCGTGAGGGGGCCAGGGAAGGGGGCAGCCTTGGCCCTGAGGCTAAGGCCACTCACGTCCTTCTCCACGTATTTCTCCAAGTTCTCCAGGGTCTTCTCCTTGAGACAGCCCTGCAGGAGGAAGCAGAGCTCTGTGTGTGTGTGTGTGTGTGTGTGTGTGTGTGTGTGTGTGTGTACACGTGTGGGAGATATGGGGTGGGGGAGCAGTGGCACCAGGGAGCCCAGACCACAGTCCTCCACGGGAAGAGGAGCGGGACATCTACGGGAACTGGAGGCCTGCAGGTTGCCCGGGAACGCCAAGGGCACACAGGCCAGGGTCCTGGACCACTCACCGACTGGTGGATGTTATTCATGGCCTCAGTCACATCCTGGAAGAGGCTTCGGAAGGACATGAAGAGGTTCCCATGCTGATAGCCAGTGTCACAGCTGGGGCAGGCCAAGGGGGGTCAGGGGATGCCAATAAGGGGGCCTGAGGTGGCCACCAACCCTGGAGCCCATCCCAGAGTGACACCTCCAGCCACACTGGGGCCTACACTGGGCTCATGCCCAGGCCATCCCGGGAGGGGCATTATCCTGGACTAAGGGTCACCCTTGGGGGCAGCCCTGGTTACAGGGCTGGAGGCCACCCTGCAGCGAGCCCCCCAAGCCCCAGGAGGGGCCTCTGCCCCCACTTTAGGGCTGGCCCCTGGGCAGAGCCTGTGTCCTGTTGGTCACCCCAGGGCTGGGCAGGGCCCAGGACGCACTTGGTGTAGCGGGAGCAGCCAGAGAAGAAGTCCACCAGGCAGGCGTAGAGGTAGGTTTCTGGGGTGGAGAGGCCGGTCAGTCACCAGCCCGGGAGCAAGCAGCCACCCCCCAGGCCAGAGCTGGGCCCCTGAGGACCACCTCCCTGCGCCCCCCACCCACCCGCCACCCACCAGGCAGGTTGAAGAGCGTGTTGAGGACGTGGAACCGCTGCAGGTCATCCCTCTGAATGAACTTGCTGGGGTAGAAGCTCCAGATCTCTGCCCTGCGGGTGGGGGAAGAGCTGGGTGCAACCAATGCCCCTCCCCAGCACCCCCCAGAGGCCATCAGGCCCCAGCCATTGCCTCCTGCCTCCACCTCCCCAATCCAGCTGATGTCTGGGATGATTTGAGTCCCTCCCCCACACTCGCTCTGCACCCCCATGGCGAGCATCCTCCCCTCCCCCTCACCGGCCACCTCCACCCCTCCCCTTACTCCGAGAGGAAGGTGAAGCCGTGGGCACCCAGCAGCACGTTCCCGTGGGCGTCCACCTTCAGCAGGTTCCCGTAGAGCGCATCAAACACCAGCCCCCTGGGGAGAGAGCACACGGCTGTGGGTGGGGCACCAGGGCCAGTCACCTCCCACCTGGCCGGAGCCCCCCCAACTCCCATACCTGGTGGGGAAGGCCGGGTCGTAGGTGTAGCGCAGGATCTCGTGCGGGTACCCGATGCACACCAGGCGCTCCAGCAGCAGCTCGAAGGCCAGCGCCTCGTATGCCGGGGACTTGTAGGCTGCAAGGGGACCGAGCAGACCCAGGCCCGTTGGTGCCTGGCTGCCCATCCCGTGCTCCCCGTAGCCGCAAATACACTGTGTGCAGCCCTCCGTACCAGCCAGAGTGTAGTCCATGTCGAAGCCAAAGCAACGAATCTTCCCCAGTGCCAGGCTTCGGTTTACGAAAATCCTGGAGAGCAGAGGATGTTGGGCTCAGCCTGCCAGCCCCCCAACGTCCAAGACTCAAGGAGTCATGGGACCGGGAACCCAGCAGAGGGGGCAGAGCACCCCTGCAGCTGCAGAAAGCACGCGGTGGGGGACAGGCCAGCTGGGGCCTCCTCTAGCCCAACGCCAGTGCGCGGCATGTCCATGCAAGTGCGCTCATGAGCGCGTGTGCAAGCGTGTGCGAGCGTGTGTCTGAGTATGTGCAGAGAACGGGCAGCTCGCTGTCCCACCCTGCAGGCCCGTGTTCCCTGTGTGTGAGGATGAGTGAGTGCCAGTGTGGGGCTTGTCACTTTCCGAAGGAGGGTCCTCGTGTCCAAGTTCAGAGATGACATGATTATCAGAATTGGGTAGCCCAGGACACCATGTCAGGGGTGAAGGACAGAGATTGTTGTGGGGGGAAGGAAGTGAAGGGGACTCCCTGCTGGAATGTACGCTGTCAGTGTCTCCACCTGAGGGGACACTGCCTCCTACTGAAGGGTGTCCCTTGTGAGCACAAGTGCTTGTCTGCATTTTGGATGTCCCCATATCTATGTATTTAAGAAGTCACTGTGTGCTGCTGTGCTGTGTGGGGTGTCTGCAGGCTGAGATCCCCGACCCCACCTCGAGTGCCCGTCTCACCTCTGGTGCCAGTCCTGCGTCAGGCCTTGGGAGGAGACCAGGCCTTCAGGCCCCCGGCTGGTCTCCCGTGGTGCTGCCCTGTCCACACTAGCCATCACCATCAGGAGTAAGATGCGACCGTCCCTTCCCCAGCCTCCTGCGCACTATCAGCGGGGCCCAGCTGCTCCCCTCTCCCCAGGAGGCCCTGGACACCACTGAACCAGCAGGCCCCACCCTGTGTCCCCCTCACCCCCAACCCCCTTTGAGGGAGGAGTCATCCAGGACAGTCTCTGGCATCTCGTCCCTTCTTCAAGAGAGAAAGCAGCGAGGACCAAGGAAGGACAACTCGCCTGCACTGTGCCACCTCCCTGTCCAGGGCTCATGCACCCGAGGACCTCGACTGCCTAGAAGCAGCAGAGAGCCCAGAGTGAAGCAAACATGGGACTTGCAAAGGCAGGAGGTTCTGTGCTTTAAAAGTAAAAGAGTCTTTGATAAATAAACAAGTAACTCAGTACTCTTGCTTTATACCCAACTCTAACACATTTGGTTGTCGAATTTCCCAGCTCAAGGCCACTGAAAGAAGACATTGCTAGAAGCATGCCAAGAGCTGTAAGAGGGGCAGACAACTGGGATCTCAGAATGAGGACAGAGGACAAGACAAAAAGATGTATATAACGCTGAGCAACTGGGGCCTGTTAGCCTAGAGCTGTAACTCGACCCAGGGCCCGCGCCACTGGCTCACAGCAAAGCATGTGACGGAGCCGTGATCTGCCTCAACCAGAAAGACTTAGATGAGGTAGCATGTCCTGTTTTAAAAAGGAAGGCAGGTTTATGATACATTTTAGTAAACCTTCTCTTCGAAATGGCTAAACTAAACGAAGTTGGCACTTTTAAAGGGATAAAAACTATCTGGAAGCAAGAAAACCGTATCTACAGAACAGCTGCTTCCTGGACAACGCCAGCAGAGAGACTACAGCCATGGCGACGCTTCAGCCAACGACGGACCACATATAGGACAGCAGTCGCACAAGGTTACGATGGAGCGGAGAAATTCCTACCACGCAGCGACGCCACAGCCGCCGTAAGGCTAGGCATTACTCACACGCGAGCGGTGATGGTGGCTGGGACCCATGGGCTACAGCTAGGTGTGCGGAAGGTGGTGCCATGCAGTCCGCGTGAGTACGCTCTGTGACGTCACACCACGACCAGATCGCCTAACACGCGTTTCTCAGAACGTGCCCCTGCGTTAGCACTGTGTGACTGCGTGAGGGCGGTTAGGGTGGTGAGGCAAGGATGTGTGGGCTGCAGGAGATCCGTTCCCTCACTGGGTGTGGGGAGGGATGGACGGACGGATGGCAGGCTGCATGTGGCAGCCTTCACTGGAGGGTGTCAGAGGAGACCCAAGTGTCAGGAATCAGGAGGATTTCTGGAGTCCCTTCCACCCACGATTCCACGCTATCTGCTCATCTTATGGGAGCCCTTTTAAGCCCTTTCCCCACACTGCGTGTTTCCCCTCTAGGTCAGAAGAGAGAAGGAAGAGGTTGTGGGAAGTTCCTCAGCCGTCGTGCTGGGAGTTAACACGGCAGGAGTACAAAAATGCAACCTGCTTTTCCTGCAGCTGCGCTTAGGGTCTCAAGATCCTCTCGAAGCTGAGGGCAGGGGAGCCACCCAGGGACGTTCAGGTACACACTGTCGGCCGGGCGCGGTGGCTCACGCCTGTAATCCTAGCACTCTGGGAGGCCGAGGCGGGCAGATTGCTTGAGGTCAGGAGTTGGAAACCAGCCTGAGCAAGAGCGAGACCCCGTCTCTACTAAACATAGAAAGAAATTAATTGGCCAACTAATATATATAGGAAAAATTAGCCGGGCATGGTGGCACATGCCTGTAGTCCCAGCTACTCGGGAGGCTGAGGCAGAAAGATCACTTGAGCCTAGGAGTTTGAGGTTGCTGTGAGCTAGGCTGATGCCATGGCACTCACTCTAGCCTGGGCAACAAAGCGAGACTCTGTCTCAAATAAATAAATAAATAAAATAGGTACACACTGTCACTTCATCGGTTTCTCAGGTCACTTCTCCAGGCACACCCCCGGTCAGGTCACCTCCTGGGATTGACTGAACAGTGTGGGGTCATTGGGAAGGGCATCGCTTCCTGGTGGGTCCTGAGGCCCCACCTTGCTGCCTGTTGAGTCTTCAGCTGGCGTGGTCTGTGTGGCCATGCTTGGACGCGGCTGCTCGCCCAGAGCCCCTTGGCTAACGTATATCCAGCTAGAGAGGGCCACGGGCTGTCACAGGGCCCTCCTTGGCCCTGATCCCTGAGCCACTGCTGCAGGCACACCCTCGGGGCGGGCTGCATTTGGAGCCCCCTCAGGAAGAGGAGGATTGTCAGAATAACAAGTGAATACTTGCACTGTTTTTACTGTGTGCCAGGCCTCATAACAAACCCACAGGTAGGCTGGCTGTTATTCTGAATTTACAGATGATTAAACTGCGGCACAAAAGCATTAAGCAACTCGCCCACTCTTACAGAGCTAATAAAGGACAGAGTGGGACCGAGCCCAGGCAGTCGGGCGCCAGCGTCTACTCTTAAACATAGGCAAAACCGCCTCTGCCACGGTCCCTCACAAAAGCCCTTTGACTTTTCAATGTCATAAAAGACAAAGAAAGGCAGAAGAAATGTTCCAGCTTAATTGAGGCTAAAGAGGCAAGGCAAATATGCAACAGCTGAGCCTGTGCTGCATCCTGCACTGCAGGGGCATATAGCGCTAAGGACATTATTAAGGCAACAAATAAAATTGGAATATGAGTGGTGAATTAAAGTAATGTCTCAGAGTACAGCTGTGAAGTTGATGTCTCTACTGTGGCAATGGAAGAAACTATTCCTGTACTTGGGAAACACTCACTGAAGAGTTTAGTGTAAAGGCAGTGAAGTTTGTAACTCACCTTCCAATGGTTCAGCTAAAACAATCATCTGTACATACATGCACACGTATATGCATATATACATATGTGTGTGTGCACATATGAGGTGGGAGACAAATGATAAAGCATACAGAATAAAATGCTAATGATAGGTAAATCTTGGTAAAGGGTGTAAGGCTATTTGTTCTCTGTACTATTTTTTATCTTTACAACTTTTCATAAACTTGAAATTATTTCCAAATTTAATTTTTTTTAAGATAGAGCCTCACTCTGTTGCCCAGGCTAGAGTGCCATGGTGTCAGCCTAGCTCACAGCACCCTCAGACTCCTGGGCTCAAGAGATCCTCCTGCCTCAGCCTCCCAGGTAGCTGGGACTGACTACAGGCGCGCACCACCAAGCCCGGCTAATTGTTTCTATTTTTAGCAGAGACCTGGTCTTGCTCTTGCTCAGGCTGGTCTTGAACTCCTGACCTCAAGCCATCCTTTCGCCTCGGCCTCCCAGAATGCTAGGATTAGAGGTGTGAGCCACCCCACCAAGCCCCATATTTTTAAAAATTTTTTAAAGAGAGCCTGTGTTCTGAGACCCCTTCCCAGTGCCCCTGTTACTGTCCTGGAGGTCTGCTCTTCTTCCTGCCCTGTCTGAGCTTTGGGCTTGGCATCTCTTCTACTGAAAGAGGAGGTGGAAACAGGACCCACCAGCCAACGTTCCTCTAAATTCCTCCACCAAGACTGTGTCTGTTTAAGTGTCAAGGCCAGGCATCTGGTGGCATTGCTCGCCGTGGATGCCTGTACTCAGAGAGGTCGCCAGAACATGGGTGCCCAGCCAGGCAGGGGCCAGATGTGGGGTGTGGCTGTCACTGCTCACACGTCCCACAACATTCAGTCATAGCGTCCTTCCAGATCTCCTCGGCTCATCCACAGCAGCTTGGCAACACAGGACCTGCAGCCCGGGCTGGGGAGCCTTCCATTCCTCTGACCTTGGAGAAACTCTCTCAGCATGACCAGAAACTTCCCCTAGACAGGAGCTTCCTTGCACAGGTGCCACTCGTTCAGGGAAATAGAGGTGGGGACCCAAGCAATGCTCCAGGAGGTCTTTTCAATAGAGGAGAATCTTGGCTGAGGTCTTTAAGGAAATGTAGAATTTTTATTAGTTAGCTTAGAGGAGAAAAGAATTTCATGTAGCCAGCAAGGAGCCCAGGGCTGAGAGGCAGAAAGGAAATGGATCACAGGGGACAGCAAAGGATGGAATTTCACTTGTAATCCCAGCACTTTGGAGGCTGAGGTGGGAGGATTGCTTAAGTCCAGTAGTTCAAAACCAGCCTGAGCAACATAGTGAGAAACCATCTCTATAAAAATTTTAAAAATTACCCAGGCATGGTGGTTCGTGCCTATAGTCCCAGCTACTCAAAAGGCTGAGGCAGGAGGATCACTTGAGCCCAGGAGTTTGAGGCTGCTGTGAGCTATGATGACACCACTGTACTCCAGCCCAGGTGACAGAGTGAGATCCTGTCTCTAAAAAAAAAAAAAAAAAAAAAAAAACGATGGGACCTGCTTCCAGGGCAATGGCCATCAGAGCCCTAGACAGGGTCCTGGCCCAGTTGTGTTCTCCCCTGTGATGAGGCCACACTGCCAAAGGGCATATTCTAAGGTGGCTAGGGAGGGACTGTGACCAGCCTGTGACCAGAGGGTGCAGCCTATTTGCTAGGGAGGGCCTGGGGCTAAGTCAGGGACATGGGGCACCATGGCCCAGATACAATTCTGCCTCACCCAGGGCAAAGGCTGGCCCCTTCCTCAGGTCAGGGGTCATGGAGGGAGAGCTTTAGGGTCAGAGATTGGGAAACTTCAAAGCACCTGCCTCTCCTTCCATCAAAACGATGGAAGTTTCTGGGAGTTTGTGGTGTGTGTGTGTGTTGGGGGTGAGGTGTGATTGTGGGCACGTGTGCACGTGTGAGCATGTGCATGCACATGCATGAGTGTGGGTGCCAGTGTGTGTGGTGCATGTATGCATGCATGAACATGTGTGACTGTGCAAGCAGGCATGCTGGGACTGGGATTGGGCAGACGGCCTGCCAGTCACCACCCTCCAAGTTCAGGCTAGAACCCCTGAGGTCCTGCAGCTGCAGTCCCCTGTAAGGGAGCAGGGGCCAGGAATGCCACCATCTAGCCCAGAGGATGCAGGGTAGGCCAGGGGCCAAGGGC